GGGGGAGGGGGTGGGAGGGCTTTGATGGGGAGTCCGTTTGGGATGGATCCTGTGAGGGGGAATCAGCTTGCTTTGATGGCTAGTCCGTGGGGTGGAGGATGATGATGATGATGGATAGTGGGGAGGAGAAGAACTCGGGAGGGGAGTTTTTCGTTGATGTTCGAATATGACGGTCCATGGAAGTGCACATTGAGACGGCCGGCCACGTATGTTTTGCTTGCTAATGTTACGACGTTATGAACGGCGTCTGACGACGCTCACGCGTTGCTGTTATTCATTCAGCGGAGAATCAAGGGCGTACCTTACTGTCGCTTCTAGCTTACATCGTGTCTCTCATAATACTTACAACATCGCTTACAGGGGCGGTGGAGTGAGCCTCTCTCCCGGCTCATTCCCATTCCACACACAAACCCTGACCGACCTTCCGCGCGGCCTTCCCTCCCGGCTCTGCGCCATGTCGGCCTCCTGCAGGAGCCACATCGCTGCCTGTTGCACTCACTGCGGAGTTTGATCCGAGACGGCACTGCCTGCTTGTACGGCCTACGGAAGCAGCACAATGCAACCCAGTGCAAGTCGTGCCTGCCCTAAGTCAAGGTAAGACCCTTCCGTTCATTCCTTCACACCAGCAATCAAATCTTGCGCCGCCTCATCAGCATCGGKATCTCTCTCAAAAGCCCTCGTGACGGCCGTCTTCCTCAACTCCCAAACATCCTCACTGCTCCCAAACTTCTTCCGTCTCTCCTCATCGCGCTGCATATAATGATCACGGATCATGACCGCCTTGTCCTTGTCCGGCAATGTCCTCGTCCGCATACAGAACCAAAAGGACGCCCATTGTTCCGAGCACTGTCGGAGTTGTCCATGGCGATAAATGTCATTGAACTTGCCGCCGACGGATTGGCAGTAAAAGGCCTGATCAAAGGCCGAGCGACAGGACATGGTGCGCGGGTAGACGGCTTCGGGGGAAATGTCGAGGGRGCCATCGGGGAGGATTCGATCGTAATGGGTTGCGTCCTCGACGGCTTCTTTTTGGCCGTTGGCATCGACGTTTTCTGCGCCGGATTGCTTGAATGCGGGGTCGGAGGCGGAGAAGGATTGGATCAAGGCCTCCAACTCTGCATCGGCTTTTTGTTCGCGCGTTTCGGGGGATGTTGATGTTGATGTGGCTGTGGATGATGAAGCGGCGGGAATGGGTCCTGGTCGGCCAAAGATGCGCATTCGCTGCTCTTCTGTTAATGCAGCACCACGCGACCGGGCGGCGACGGGTTCATTTCGTCGAGCTTCCGTGTTCTGAGCAGCATCGCTGGGAGTTGATCCCCAAAGCCATCCCATCTTGTTGTCGTCGCGAAGAAGCGTGATGGTGATGAAGCTTCGAGGTTCCAATTCCCCCATGCCAACCTTCCCCGCGAATCGTTTTGCCGACTGCCTTCCTTCACTTCACTTCCCTCCAAGACAATAGGCATCTCTCCAGTGAATCAAATCACTCAAAATGCCCATCCGACCAGCAACCTACAGTGACCTCCTCCCAGCCTCCAAATTCCTAGCCAAAGCCTTCCAAGATGAAGATCTCTTCGGCCGCTACATGCATCCCAAAAGAAACGAATTCCCCAATGACACGTACCTCTGCTTCCTCAACAAACTACGAATAGGCTGGGCAAGTGGTCCCAACAACCACTTCCTCGTCTCCTACAAAATAAACCCCGTCAACGGCCAAGAAATCCTCACGGGAATTGCTCGTTGGCAAAGAATGTCCGCCAAAGACTCCCCAAGTCTCTACACAACCACCACCCTCACCGCCATGAAAACTTACATTTGGCTGGAATCCTTCCTCTACCCGAATCGTGCCATGGATTACTCCCGRGAGCRAATTCTAAATGATGTAGGTCCTTATGTGGGACATTTCTGGTCTGGAACGAGAAGTGAAGTGTGGGATTTGGATTTCTTGGGCGTGGATCCTGAGCAGGGACGACAGGGTTTTGGACGGGAATTGGTTATGTGGGGGTTTGAGCAGGCGAGGAAGGAAGGGGTTGGTTGTAGTGTTATTGCTTCGGATGGTAAGGAGAGGTTTTATCAGAGTTGTGGGTTTGATGTTATTGCGGGGACGGTGAGGGATTTTGGGGGAGAGGCGAATCCTATGGTTAGGGATGGCATTACTGGGGGGTCGATTTTGTTTTGGGATAATGGARAGCCCAAGGGGGTTAAGAATTATGGAGAGGAGTAGAAATTTGGTGTTACAGAGCACTCAGTGATCCCTTCGTTATGCATGCATGCTAATCATCTTGATTCGCATGGATGCTTCCTTGTGTGATATACCCCGACTCAGCACGCCTCTGGATCTCAGGAGAAGCAATCTGTAGCAGGAGCTTCAATTTTCCCATGATGGTGATTCCAATTCCTCAATCTGGGCCTTCCCAACACCTCCTTGGCCCGAGAACTCCATTCAATCACCAATCTTGCCCTTCGGTCAAGCAGCCGCACCACTGCGGCTCTCTCTCAAGCGCCGCAAGTTCCGCGACTTCTCTGCAGCCTCCCGCGCGAGTCTTATATCGATTCGTTGTAATCGAATATCTTCAAGATCTGCTTCGAGCTCGGCTTCTTCCTCTACTTTGGACATACCCTTTGCTGCACTCTGTTCGCGATCTTCGAATACTTCGCTCTTCACATGAACCAAGTCGTCGTCCCCCGTAAGATCAACATCGATCCGCTGCTGCTTCGCCGGACGCTCCTCAACAGGCGCTGGAGAAGATCGCTTCTTCGATTCCGTTCCTGTGGCAACCTGGGACGCGGCTGATGAGTTTGGGACGATGGCGTCGCTGGCCGATGTATCACGACTTGCTTCTTCGGAAGGCACAGGCTGTTCGCTGGAGGCGGTGGAATGGTTCGTTGCTATCACTTCTGCGGCAGCTCTAGAGTCTTCGCGTACAGCTTCGATGACAGGAGCATTGTCAACTACCATCTCGGATGGTGCTGCGCCATCGTGGGGGATGATGGGTTGTTCCGTGAATGGCGCTTCCTCGACAGTCTGAGGCTCCTGGCCACTGACTTGGTTCGTAACGCTCGCATTCGTCGCCGTAGCTCCTGGGATTGGTACATCTGCTGGAGCGAAGCTACGTTCAATTTGTACGTCTTCTGGTCTCTTTTCGGGCTCTTTGGTCGCCAGTCGAAATACGGGACGATCCTCTGGAGCAGGAGTCTCTGTTGCCCGACGAATGGCATGCTTACTCGGAGCAGGGTCAGCCATCTTGACGCTCTGTGGCACAATCTCCTCGTCAACTTCATCCATCTGCTGGGACCGGTCGTTCCGAGCTGTGTCTTCGGCGTCATCGTCGCCTGGTGCACTCTGAGGAACGTACATGAAGCGCCCACGAGACTTCCTAAAGGCAATCTTCTTGCCTCTAGGAGGGGCCTTGAGTTGCGTACACTGGGAGCATTCCACCGCCAAGGTCTCCTGCGATTTCTCAGAAGGCTCTGGGTCTGGTGGCTCATCGTCATCTTGCGCCCGCTTGGCTCTGGGTAGCCGCTTTAGCTTTAAGTGGGTGCCATCAACACCGCCATTTTCTCCATCCTTGGAACTTGGCACCCGTCGAGGAGCCTTGCGATGCTTCAGGGGACAGTTGCAGGTAGTCGGCGGGCTTCGTGGCGTCTTCTTGGCATTCGATTTTGCTGAGGCGGGGATAATCGAATTGTCCACTGGCCTTGCGGATTCCAAGATGGCTTTTGGTGGACACGTACTGGGGTCATTGAGCGAGTCTTCGATTACGAGTGGCTTCGAAGTTGTCGCCCGTGTGGGAGAAGTATTTCTATGCGGGCTGGAACGTACCAACGGAGCGCCGTTTGACTTGTTCTCGATCTCAGCGTGCTCTCGTTTCCAGTACGCGACCATCTCTTCCAGACGTGTCTCCCTTAGCAAACGATCAGCTACATAGCTGTTGTCCGCAGTGAAACCAACAAGATCCAGACTAAGTGCAACTGGAAGGCTTTGTGAGCAACGATCAGCCGCCTCTTTGTATGCCGCTAATATTGAGTGAGCAGGGTACCTATGAGGGGAAATCGACAGATTTTTACCTTTGGCAAGAGGTCGAAACACAAAGGTGCGAGTCCTCCCGGAATCCCCTTCTAGTGGTTTGAACGTCTGCAGATCGAGGGGGTTGGCCATCGTCCTAATGTGGTGAGGGCCTAGTGGACCGTAGCGACTGTGCACGAATCAGTGAGGCTCCCGTTTTCACAAGCTCTTGTTACATACCCCATCAGATCACCGATCCAACGCATGTGGACGTGTGTAATGGTCACATTGATGGTTCCAGCTTCTACTTCAACCCCGTGGAGAGGAACGTCCATTGTGCTCGTCGCTATTGAAACGTCAGTCATGAGTAAGCGAGCTGCGCGGAACGGTATTTACACACCGTTCTTGAATCCATCAGTTGAAAATTTCAGCGGCTTCTTGCCATATAACCTCTGTGGATCACTGAGGCAGAAAGAACGACTGTCGATGGATGCGTTGCTAATTACAAAACGATACGTTCCGAACGTGCCCGTCTTGGAAAGGCCTTGCATGCTAATCTCGACTATCATCGCAGACCGAGCAGGGGACTCGAAATCTTCTGGAAACCTCAACGCGAATGCGATACTGCCACTGAATTTCTGTATATGGCTTTCGGCGTAATGGCTGTTATGTGTCGAGATGTTGCACGGTACCTCTCTGAATTTCCTCGTGTCGAAACCCTCCCCAACCGGTTTCAGGTAAACTTCGATTCCTTGCAACTTCATCGCTGCGGTCGCGACCAATATCGCGTATGGCACTGAAYGGCTTCTCCAACTTTCTCACTTCTCAACTATGCTGATGAGCGTCGTTGCGAGTGATGAGATATGGAAGTATGTGCTTGGTATGAGAGGCGGTTGATGGTGGTTGAAGTTGATGATTGGTGAAGACAAGTGGATGTTGTTAAAGTTGTTTCGTGAATGTTCAATGTAATAATGGGAATATATATATGAAGCGGCAACAGGCAGCAGCTTCACGACTTACATGTGCTCTTGTGTGTGAAGTTTGCACGTTCGCCGCGACCGAAGTGAAGGCTTTCGTTGGAATCTGGCTTCAACTCGATTTTGTCTGAAGAGAAGAAACAAAGCAAAATCGAGAGTCAAGAGATGACCACAGTCTGTGTGATGGAGTAAAATGCCCAGCAAGTCTTTAACCATCTCCTGGCTTTGAACAATCCATGTACCAATCGCTCGTGACTGAGGAGCAGAGGGAATCGGACCTCAACACGGACAGCGTCGAGAGCCGACGCTCTGAGAATCATGCTACGAACGATGATGAAGCGTGGAAGGTCTGGCGAATGTGCTTCCTCATCTTAGCTGGACCACGCAGCGATGCTGCACTCGCTCAGCTTCATCAAGATTGGGAAACATCAAGAGTGAGTTGCGCCCAAACCATAGCGCTTGGATGAGTCTGCTACAGATGTACCGTGAGAGTCCAGGTATGCTCTCGAAGGCGGTGATATCCACATGAGGTACACCTCAATAACTTTGCTGCGGACCTCCGAAGAAGTCTCCAACGTCATCTCGGAGTCTCAGAGCACCTGCGGAAGTCAATGAGGAGCTTCATCCGCAGACCACACGTGACATTAGGATTGATTGGTCCAGCTGTGAAGAGGGCAGACTGACCAACAAGGTCGGGAGGAAAGTGAGAAGAGATGGGTGAAGAGTGATGGAGGTGAAGTCGCATCTTGAAGATCGCCCAAGGTTGCGACGAAGCTAGTCGGAGCTCGGTGTTTATGTTTCGTCACCTTGAGCTTAGCTTAGTTTAGCAGGGGTGTTGWTAGTCCGCTCCCAGGGCAGCAACCACGTCTCACAAGTGCCTCCAGGTCTCCTCGCGCGCCCTCTGAAGCATTCTGGTGGCTTTGGATCGATCATTCTGATCATCAAGGACGAGCGCATACACACTTTCCTTTGGATGTCATACATCAGGCATCATGTCGGACAACGGTAGGATAATGACCCGGCGGAACAGCTCCAGCTCCCAGCACATGACGGTAACACTAACCAACACGCCTCCTCAGAACACGCCATTCTTAACCTCACGGCCGACGAAAAGCGCGCATACGGATATCTCTTCAGCCAGGCGGATAAAGATCAGCTGGGCGTGGTGACGGGCGAAAATGCCGTCAACTTCTTCGAGCGCACCCAGGTCTCGCCCAATGTACTCGGTCAGATCTGGCAGTTGGCGGATACGGAGAACCGCGGACTGCTGACGAAACTCGGCTTTTGCATGGTTCTGCGCCTGATCGGACACTATCAAGCTGGAAGAGAGCCTACACCAGAGCTGGCATTAAAGCCATCCCCCATACCCAAATTCGAGGGATTACCCATACCGGGAGCGACGGGACCTGGCAGTGGCATACCCRGCCCCAATGTCGGACAATTCCCTCCCAATGCTCTCCAGCCGCAGGTCTCTGGTCAGCCTCCCATTCGCGTTCCTCCCCTCGATCCCCTGAAGGTGCAGCAGTACTCGGGGCTGTTTGAGCGATCGGGTGCACAGAATGGGCAACTGGACGGCGCGACTGCAAAGGCCATCTTCGAGCGCGCCGGATTGCCGAATGAGGTGCTGGGACGGATTTGGATGCTGGCAGATCGTGAACAGAGGGGCGCTCTGGACCAGACGGAGTTTATTGTGGCCATGCATCTTTTGACGAGCATGAAGACAAGGGCAATGAGCGCCTTGCCGAACATCTTGCCTCCTGGGCTGTACGACGCGGCAGCGAGGCGAGGGCTTCCAAACAGACAAGCCAGTGGTCCAACTGCGATTCCTAGGCAGGTATCTGGCACCCCGGCCAACAGCATCCCGAGAACGCAGAGTCCGCTCTCAAGGGCACCGGGATATGGTACCCCACCTGTACAGTCTTCTCAGTCGACAGGTGTCCCATGGATCATCACACCGGCCGACAAAGCCAAATTTGATGCCTTCTTCACCTCAATAGATGTTCAGCGACGCGGAATCCTCAGTGGCGAGCAGGCGGTGTCGTTCTTTTCGGACTCGCAGCTCCCAGAAGAGACACTTGCATCAATCTGGGATCTAGCAGACATCAACAGTGAAGGTCAGCTCAACAAGGATGAATTCGCCGTGGCCATGTACCTTATCCGTCAACAGCGGGCGCCAAATCCCCCACCGCTGCCAGCATTCTTACCGCCAGCTCTGGTTCCGCCTACAATGCGTAAACAACAACAGCAGACACAATCGACAGCGCCTGCATTTGACAATGCCAACAACACGTCCAATCTACCTAAATCAGCCGCCGATGACCTGTTTGGGCTTGATGAGCCAGCTCAGCCGCAAGTGGCTCCTCCAGTAGCAGCGATCAAAACGCAAGTCACAGGCACACCAGCGACTCGCGATCCGTTCGGGGGAAGCCAACCAGGAAGCCCCGCGAGTCCGCAGCGATTTCAGCCTGTCTCGCAACTCCAGCCCCAAAACACTGGCTTCAAGCCTTTTATGCCTACATCTGCATTTGGCGCTAGCCTTACTTCGCAGACCACCGGCGGCTCTTTTGCTTCAAACCAAAATGCGGTATCTCGTGGAGTTCCTCAATCCGCCGGGATTGATGATCTCCTAGGAGACAACGACGCCAGTGCGGAGGAAAGCAATAAGCTGAACAATGAAACCACCGAATTGGCGAACATGAGCAACCAGATTGGCAATCTACGAACGCAAATGGAGCAGACGCAGAGCAAGAAGAACGCTACTCAAGCGGATCTCACCACAACCAGCAACCAAAAGAGAGACCTGGAAATCCGCCTCCAGCAGTTCAGAGCTCAGTACGAACAGGAGGTTCGAGCCGTCAAGGAGTTGGAGCAGCAGCTTACCGCATCGCGGGACTCTACGAAGAGGTTGGGCCAAGAACTCGCGATGCTTGAGGGCAACTACCAGGACCTGCAAACACAACATCAGACTGTGTCCTCTGCACTGCAAGCCGATCAGCAGGAGAATGCAAGCTTGAAGCAGCGAATCTCTCAAATAAACGCCGAGGTCGCGCAATTGAAGCCTGAGATTGAGAAGTTAAAGCTAGACGCCAGGCAGCAAAAGGGCATGGTCAGCATCAACAAGAAGCAGCTCGCTACTGGTGAGAGTGAGCGTGATCGACTTCAAGGCGAGAAGGTGGAGCTGGGCCGTGAGATCGCAGACTATGAAGAGCAGGCACGAAATGCACCTGCCGCGGAGCCCGCATCGAATGTTGTCAGTCCCGCTGCGAGTGTCATGAGCGCCAACAACCCATTCTTCAGGAAGGAGACTATTGACCGCTCCATGAGCCCTAGTCCGCCGCCCCTTACCCAGACTGGACACGTCGCGCCTAACCCAAGCGCATTTGACGCGATCTTTGGGCCATCTGCTGCGTTTGGTCGATCTGGCAGTGGAACAGCTACGCCACCAGCCACATCATTCGTTGACCGATCCATTCCCAGTGCTTCTGCCGTGCCAGTCGGGATGTCTGACAGTGTGCAGAGTGTATCTTCGCATGGCGAGCCAACTCCATCTGCAACTCCACCACTTTCGGAGCATGTCAAAGCAAGCCCGTTTGAACCTCCACCACCACCCGAGAACCAGCAGTTCTCCGCATCTGAGCTTCCGGTCGTTAGCGTTGACAGAAGTGTGCCCGCAAGTGTTACCAGCTCGACCAGAGTTGTGCCACCTGGGAGCAGAGCTGGCGGCATCGAGACGCCGCGGGAGGCGCTCCCAAGTCCTGTCGTCTTGCCAGAGCAGCACGTTTCCGGAACCCTCGCCGAAGATCCTACGCCAGACAACGCAGCCCATGATGGTATTCCCGGCGCGTTCCCCGAAGCTACTCCAATAGCGTMGCGGAGTGTAACACCAGCAGCTGCCAAGGACGACTTTGACTCGGCGTTCGCTGGGTTTGGATCTGCTGATGAAGCGAAGCAGTCTGCACAGGATGATCCCTTCGCAACCAGAGCACCGGCCAATGGTGCGAGCTCTGAATTCCCTGAGATCAAGTATCTCGAACCCGAGGACAGCGATAGCGAAGATGAAACTGATCGAGGTTTCGACGATGATTTTACAGCAGCATCACCGCCCCAAGCTCAGACTTCGAGTGCAGGCATCTCAGGGCCGTCCGAAGCCGCTGCTGCTGCTGCAGGTTTGCCAGGTATTGAAGCGCAGACCTCGCCGCCGACATATGAAGAGAGTGACCAGCCATCGCATGGCGGTCAGGGTGAGCATGGCGGAGCAGGCCAATTCCCACCCGAGTTTGGTGGTCTGTTGCCATCGAGGGAAGACCCAACGAACTCGCCGCCACCTACGGAGACCATTGCCGCACAGCCGTCGGCGGATGTACATGAGACACAGTCCACAGTCCACACCCCACCAGCGAACGGTGGAGCTTCGCTGGCGCCTGCACCCAACAGTGAGACAGCACAAGCTTCTGCTCCTGCTCCTGCCAAGAACGCTTTTGACGACTTTGACGAGTTCGACGATCTCGCAGAGGCAAAAGAAGCCGAGAAGGCCGGGAGTGAATTCGATTTTGAGCATAATGAGCCAAGTTCTGAATTCAATCCAGCCTTCGACTCGCCCGCTGCCAGCATGACGACCACGATGACCTCTTCTCAACAGACGCCTATTGCTTCATCTAGATCGATACACCAGGAAAACAATGGGTTTGGCAGTTTCGCACCGTCTACGGCCACAAGCAGTGCATTTGCAAGTGGTGCAGATGCTGGTACAAGCAGTCTCCAGCAGACTCCAAGCAACTCGCAGCACGACTGGGACGCCATCTTCTCGGGCTTGGACGGCTCCAACACTGTGGATACGTCCCTACCGGCTAGCGACCCGTGGGGGACATCAACTACCGATGAAACCATTGCACCAGCTGCGACGCCCGCCACACTCTCAATCCCAGCTTCCAAGTCTTCGGCCGTTCCTGATAGGGGCGGAGCGCTTACGCCTGGAACAGAGCACGATGATCCCATCTTGAAGCGATTGACAGGGATGGGTTACCCTCGAATGGAGGCTCTGGATGCATTGGAGAAGTTTGACTATGACATTAATAGGGTGAGTTAATCGTGCTCTTGATGCATAAGGATGTGCTGACAATTTAACAGGCAGTAGACCACTTGACAAAGTGAGATTGATAGTCGAGGGTGTATAGCTGGCGCGCCTGAAAGCACCTTAATTGTAGATAATGCCACAGTATCGATTCATTCGCAACGTAATGATCCATCGCCTGACGGCGGAAATCTTGTTCAGTACTCTACAGTTCGTCTCCTGACAGCAATGCCGGTTCCATCACGGCTGCTGWACCCATCTATCCTTCCAAAACGCCTTGCACATTTGATGCTCATGACCAACCATCATCCCCTCGCCGTAGACCGATCTCTCAATATCTGGATAATCTCATCACAAGCCTCCATATCCGCAGCATCTAACCCCGTCTTCCTCGCCGTCCACACATCTTGTGGTAAGCTCTTCTCCAACTCATCCAACCCCGGCTGGAAATTCCTCACCAAACTACTCAACGCCGTARTCGCCTTCTTCCTAACCTTCAACTCCTCATCCTCCACCGCCAATTTCGCCAATTTCGGCACAACCCCATGTCCCAAAGCGAATTCCTGACTCTTGACATTATTCTGCACGGCAGCGCCCACGCATGAAGCTGCCATTCTTCGAAGTTCTGTTTCCGGATTGTCGAGTTGGGAGATCAGAGGGGGCCAGAGACCCATGGGTTCCATATTGTTTGCATTGTCGATTTGTTCGATTAGGAGTTCGAAGTTCTCAAATGCGATTAGTTTGTTGGGGAGGTCGCATTGGGATAGTGGGGCGAGGATTGCGGCCATGGAGTCGCGCATGCGGTCTGCGTCCGAGGGGCCGCCGAGGAGTTGGGCGAGGAGTTCGGGGTTTAGGTTGGATTTTTTGGGAGCTGAAGGGTCGGTTGTTGATGAGGTGGAGTTTTCGACGGACCATTTGAGGAGTTCGTTGAAGTCGCCCATGGTGGTAATGCTTGTCGTGGGTGTGTAGCTGGCGTTTGTTCGTTTCTTCCTTCTATATGGAGGTAGCAGTCCGGGACTTGAAGAGGTGTGGAGCAAAAGATTCTTGAGGAAGATGTAGTGATTCGAGAAATGTTGACAAGCTTGAAGAGTTGGATGTTTTGCTAGTTCAGCCCAAATTCTTCCCAGACTTTCTTGGATCGCCAGAAGCTTCACTGTGCTTCTTTACACTTCGACGGCCTTCACGGGTAAAGTTTGATACGGAGAATTGTGATGCAATGAAGGAGGTCGAAGTAAAGATGAGGCTGTCGTAAATCGTACCTGCTCTCAGCTCTACAGGACAGAATCTCGCGAACCACAAGAATGTCGAAGCTATGGAACAATAAAGGGCAGAAGGCATACGGGATAGTTCAAATGTTGCTCTCGACTTGCGCTACGCCTTTATCCACATCGAACATTCTCAGACATAGCTAACCCTTCTACCCTACGACACGCAGATCGATCATCCAAAGCAGGAGTATCCGCAAGCCCGCATCAACTCTGGAGGCATTCCAATGCTTATCGTGTTTCCTTCGAGCAGGCTGGCCGCAAGCCCCTTTCCCTACGACAGCGCCAATCAGCAGACAAAAGGTCTCCTCCTTGTTAAGAGTGGCGTTGAAGTTCGCATTATCGTCAATTGCTTCGGCACTCTTGATTGGTACATGTGGCATTACGTACTGTGATGCATTTAATGATAAAGTTTGTGAAACATTAATACCCGGGGACATTGGCATACTTTTCTGGCTCGACGTTTGAAGTTTCCTGTTTCCATTCTCCTTGCCGTCGCATCCCCGCCATCGCCACGTACATACAGCCTACCCCTCAATCGCACGTGATGGGAGGATAAGTTGAAAGTTGAAAGTTGAAACATTCCGCCACAAGGTGACGGTGAGCAGGTCGGCAGAGATGTGGGCAACAGCACGCGCCAGGCTTGTGTGGCTCGATGGCTGGCGAGAATGTGAGGTATGGGCCAAAGACCCTTCTCTTTGCAAGAGACAGGAGCTGGAGAGAGCGAGGCGAAAACGCGCGGCGGTGCTCCCAGCTCCAGGCAGCGCAATATTGTAGCATTTAAGACATTGTATCTTCTCCATACATACTGTCTGCCCATTCCTGTTCATCATCAAAGTCGAGTTCACCTGCAATAGAAACAGACTTTCATCCCAAAACCTCAACATTTGCTCCTGTCCAAATCTCCATCTCCGAAGCGGTTAGGTCAGCCTCGCACTAGCTTCGCTTAAACCCACAACGCCCTCTTTCCTCCGCTGCGCCCTCACCGCACTTACCTTGACACCACTCCATACGTACCTCGCACCCTTGCTCCCATCTCGCAAGGCTCTCGACGCACACCAAACGCCACCACCCACTACCACCCACACACCAACAGCCATGGAGGGTAAGTTACTCGTCCGCACTGTACATTTCTGGCATTCGCACCGCAACCCCCGATCGCGCGTGCTGGCAGTGGCAATAGCCATCAAAAGAACACCCTGCTGACTCTCCTGTGTCTATAGAAGAAGTCGCTGCCCTCGTTATTGACAATGGGTAAGATTGCGCCAGCTACGTGTCCCCCTCCGCCCGCACTCGGCCTCGACGTCATATTCGCCCATTGCAGGATGCAGGAGCTGGGCTGGGGCGGAGCGAAGCGGATACGCGTGAGATGACTGCAGAGACAATGGCTGACCACGACACAGTTCGGGAATGTGCAAGGCCGGTTTYGCCGGTGACGATGCGCCCCGCGCTGTCTTCCGTGAGTGATGTCCAAAATACGTTGTCTAGCGTGCCCGCCCACTGACTCCATTACAGCATCCATTGTCGGCCGACCGCGTCACCATGGGTATGCAACGACCCAATTATGCTCCACCTTCAATGGCATTTCTGACAAGAGCACAGTATCATGATTGGTATGGGACAAAAGGACTCGTACGTTGGAGACGAGGCACAGAGCAAGCGTGGTATCCTCACCCTGAGATACCCCATTGAGCACGGTGTGGTCACCAACTGGGACGACATGGAGAAGATCTGGCATCACACCTTCTACAACGAGCTTCGTGTYGCTCCCGAGGAGCACCCCGTTCTGCTGACTGAGGCTCCCATCAACCCCAAGAGCAACCGTGAGAAGATGACCCAGATTGTCTTCGAGACCTTCAACGCACCAGCTTTCTACGTCTCCATCCAGGCTGTGCYCTCCCTCTACGCCTCCGGTCGTACCACCGGTATCGTGCTCGACTCCGGTGACGGTGTCACTCACGTTGTCCCAATCTACGAGGGTTTCGCTCTTCCACACGCCATCTCCCGTGTCGACATGGCTGGTCGCGACTTGACCGACTACCTCATGAAGATCTTGGCCGAGCGCGGTTACGTCTTCTCGACCACCGCTGAGCGCGAAATTGTCCGTGACATCAAGGAGAAGCTCTGCTACGTCGCCCTTGACTTTGAGCAGGAGATCCAGACCGCCAGCCAGAGCTCTTCGCTCGAGAAGTCCTACGAGCTTCCCGACGGACAGGTCATTACCATTGGTAACGAGCGTTTCCGTGCCCCAGAGGCTCTCTTCCAGCCATCTGTCCTTGGTCTCGAATCCGGCGGAATCCACGTCACCACATTCAACTCCATCATGAAGTGTGATGTTGATGTTCGCAAGGACCTTTACGGAAACATTGTCATGGTATGTTATTTGTGATGTTGCTCGATCATTGACCCCGCTCACAATCATCTTCACAGTCTGGTGGTACCACCATGTACCCTGGTATCAGCGACCGCATGCAGAAGGAAATCACCGCCCTTGCCCCATCCAGCATGAAGGTCAAGATCATCGCACCACCAGAGCGCAAGTACTCTGTCTGGATCGGTGGTTCTATCCTTGCCTCGCTTTCGACCTTCCAGCAGATGTGGATCTCCAAGCAGGAGTATGACGAGTCCGGCCCCTCCATCGTGCACCGAAAGTGCTTCTAAGCGCACTGCACTCCTGCGTCGACTATTTGAATTCATTGTGTACGTGGTAGGCGGGGTGAGTCTTTGAAGTCGCAGCAAGCGGAAGCGGAAAAGGCGTTCACCTTCGAGATTGAGCTTTGCGGTGGAGGACGTGTGTTGCAGGATGTTTGTATGTGACACTTCTGGCGGGCGTTGACTTGCTTGATCAGCTCATACCAGCATCTGCCCCTAGACTACTGCTTATGTATGCCTAACCATGGCGAACGACGAAAAGAAAATGCAAACTGTTTCCTTTGTTGCTGCTCGTGATCATCTTTCCACGCGCGAGAATGCAGAAAGCTCCCTTAGCCTTCAGGGGGGCACATGGAGTGGTGGGTCTTGCTGCCCTGCAGATCTCGAGTGTGACGTATTTTATCGCAACAACACAGCTCGAAGACGAGGACGAAAATGAAAAGGTTGGTAAGGCTTTTCCATCGCACTTGCCCACGACTGTCCTCTTTCGATCTACCACTGCGATTCTCTACATACTGCGATTCTCTACAAACTGGCAGCCAGACTCCTGTCACGTTCTAGCTTGCTCTGCACTGCTCACTCAAAAACTTCATTCGCCACAATGACTGCAGACGGCCAGAAAAATATTGTGATTATTGGCGGTGGCATTATTGGATGCACGTCTGCCTATTTTCTCACTCGACATCCATCATATGATCCGAAAAAGCATAAGATTACCCTGTTGGAAGCCACCAAGATTGCTGGCGGCGCGTCGGGCAAAGCAGGCGGTCTTCTGGCGTTATGGGCATATCCGAGCAGTCTTGTGCCTCTAAGCTACAGATTACACAAGCAGCTTTCGGACGAACATAACGGAGAAGAACGCTGGGGCTATCGCGCAGTGCACTGTGGGCAAGTCGATTGTATTGGCAGGAATACAGCTGCGAAGAGTGTAGTGCATGGAAAGAATGGAGACATGAGTGGYGACAATGGTGAAGTTGCAGAGAGCGTCAGCTTGCAGAAACGAAGCAAAGAAGCGATGAGCAAACTTCGGAAAGCTGGTGTGCCGGAAGACCTCGACTGGGTCAGTTCAGAAAGTCTGAGGAGGTATGAGGAGATGGGAGATCCGAGTACGACTGCACAGGTGCATCCTTTCCAATTCACGACTTCCGTGGCGGATCTTGCACAAGAGAAAGGTGCAGAGATCAAAACCGAAGCGAGTGTCAAGCAGATCAACTTTACTGCTGATGGAGAGAGCGTTGAAAGTGTCACCTACACACAAAATGGTCAGGATCAGACTCTTCCGGCTACAGACATTATACTCGCTGCTGGACCTTGGACGAGATCTGTATATCCTTCGGCTCCGATCGGCGCAATGCGAGCACACTCCGTCACGATCAAACCTTCGAGACCTGTGAGCGCTTTCGCACTCTTCACTCAGATCAAGCTGCCCTCAACATTCACGCCCAATCCATCTCACAGTGGCCAGTTTGTCACACCAGAAATCTACGCGCGACCTAGGAATGAAGTCTACGCTTGTGGAGAAGGTGATCACGCCGTTCCCCTCCCTCCTACATCTCAAGAAGTTGAAGTCGATGAGCAACGTTGTCAGGAAGTTGTTGATTTCGTCTCTTCGATATCGGACGAGCTGAGGGATGGTGAGGTTACGGCCAGGCAGGCTTGCTATTTGCCTTCGGTCGTAGGGAGTAATGCTCCGTTGGTAGGACCTACAGGGGTGAATGGGTTGTGGATGGCGGCGGGGCATACTTGTTGGGGAATCAATAATGGGCCGGCGACGGGGAAGATTGTTAGCGAGTTTGTGTTTGATGGGGAGAAGGGTGTGAAGTGTGCAAAGGTTAAGGGGTTGGATCCGAGGGAGTATTTGTAGTGTTGGGAAAGGCGGAAAGTTTGCAATATTCCATTTACGCTGCCGTAGTTGGCGAGTTGGAACCATGTCGTGTTGTCGTCAGTATTGAGTTTGTCGTCGAGATAGACGTACCAAATGGATCTCCCGGCCACTCTGCAACGTCTCTTTAGCGATTTCAGATGACCAGAAACACCTCGAGAGAGATCGGGTAGGACCGAGCGGCTCGCCTCGACAAGTCCGCTGCCTAGACTGATACCCCAAGCACAATCAAGCGAGCTCGCTGCTTCAAGCCTGTTATCGGTCGCCTGTATCTCATTACGCAGTCTCACTTGTACTGTCAGGGAAGAAATGTGTGTCGAAGCAGATCATCAAACGTTCGAAATGTTCATTCACTTCGTCGGGTCGCTCATTCCATATCTGGGTATCTCCATTTGACTGAATCTCGCCGTGGCGATTCCCACCCAGTCAACCACATGCTCCAAGGCTCGCGCACACGCTTTCTAGCCACTTCACTCATGCCTCGATTCCGCTGACTCCGTGGCCCATGTTTTCATAAATCCCACTCCCCTGCAAAGCTACGCCTCTACTCCATTCTTATGCTAAGCTCACTCATCTCTACGGCCATTGAATAGTAGGCCAGCACTTCTCCTTGGTCCAGGCATCGGCGTGGGTGGTAGAGTGCTGCTCGAGGATCTTGGTGTTGGAAGCATCCTACTTACCGTTAGACGTGTCAAGACTGACATACTTCCATGTGAAGATACGCACAAGCTCTTTGCGGCAGAAAGCGCAGACGACCTTGGCCTTTGCTGGCTTGACGGGTGTGCCGTTTGGATTTACCTGCACACGGGTACCGGCCGCATCGGCCTTTTTGTGCTCGCGTGAGATTCTGTCCTTCTTGGAAATCGGCATCTTGGTGGAATTAGGGTGGATTGTGGAAAGAAAATATGATCCGAAGAAAGTTGGAGTGCAGAGAGAGTCCGCAAGCGCCGCGCCGTCTCAATGAACAGGGTCCATGAACTTTAAAAAACGCGGCACGACGCGCGACACGCTACGGCCTGGCCTTCACCTCGCCTTCACTTTCACTTCCCTTCTCCCCATCACGCAACATGGGTTGATCACTCCACCGCCATGGCCACCATCAAGCCGATAGAGGGCAGCAGTGTCCATCAGATCCAATCCGGGCAGGTCATCGTCGACCTCAATTCGGTGGTGAAGGAACTGGTCGAGAACAGCTTGGATGCCGGGGCCACCTCAATCGACGTGCGGTTCAAGAACAACGGCCTCGATTCGATTGAGGTGCAAGACAATGGCAATGGTATCTCACCAGACGACTTTGAGACTCTCGCTCTGAAGCACTACACGTCAAAGTTGTCCACCTATGAGGACCTCACCTCCCTGGACACGTTCGGGTTTCGTGGAGAGGCATTATCGTCCCTCTGCGCCTTGTCCAAGTTTCGTGTTCTGACTGCTCGGGTGGAAGATGGTGCCATGGGCAACAAACTCGAATTTGAGGTTTCTGGGAAGCTGAAAAGCTGCTCTGTATCTTCTGCGCAGAAGGGAACGACGGTGTTTGTGGAAGACATCTTTTACAACCTCCCTGTTCGACGCAAGGAGTTGGAAAAGAACGTCAAGCGTGATTATTTGAAAGCAGTCACATTACTTTATGCCTACGCATGTATCAGCGTTGGCGTACGTTTCTCGGTCACCAATCTGATGCCAAAAGGGAAGAAGGTCCTTGTCTTCTCGACCAAGTCTAATACCACTACCAAGGAGAACATCATGAATGTGTTTGGGGCGAAGACTCTCCTCGCGTTGGTCAAGCTGGACTTGACTCTGGAAATGGAACCCAGAAACGGGCCTAGCACTCAAGGCGCTCGCAACTGGTCCACTCAAGCCACAGACCGCTCGATGGAAGTGCGAATAGAGGGTCATATTTCAAGGCCTACATTCGGTGACGGTCGTCAAGCTCCGGATCGGCAAATGTATTTTGTCAACTCCAGGCCGTGTCTCCTGCCGCAAGTCCTAAAAGTCTTCAACGAAGTTTACAAGTCCTTCAATGTCGCCCAGTCACCCTTCGTCTTCGCCAATCTCATTATGGATACGCATGCATACGATGTGAATGTGTCACCAGACAAGCGAACGAWCATGCTTCACGATCAGACCGCCTTGCTAGAAAGCTTAAAAACTGCGCTGACGGAAATGTTTGAGAATACTGATCATACCATTCCACAATCGACTCTTCCAAGCCGAAAGTTGCCATCTTATCAATCGTTGGCGGTACCGAGACCGGCCACTCCGGACGACGATAGTGAGATCGAAGCAGAAAGCGATGAAGATCAAGCTAAGACCAACGCTTCTGATGCTTTGAGTGGCCAGGGAGCCAAGGTTAATGGTTCGCCTGCCAATTTCATACACGACTGGGTCAGCCGAGACTGTGAGCCTCGAAGAGAGATCAAGCCTTCTCGCAAACGTGCAAGCGAATTGGTAGACAACGGTCATCAAGGGCCTGGGACTTCTGTGCAGAAGCAAGACGACAATACTACGGCGCCTGTGCGGCCCGACAACAACGAAGGAAAGGGTGACTTGCTTGATGATGAACCGTCTGCAAGTACTTGCACGGCTGAAAACGTGCAAGCATCTGAAGAAGTTCAAGAATCTGGTCGGATGTCCGTGAACTCCAACATCGCAACATCCACGATTGATGCCGTTCGTAATCCAGATCCGCTGAGCTCCCCCTATGCCGATCTCTTTTCGCAAAAGCCACCCGAGCTTTCACAGCGTGTACAAGACTTCAACATGAAGATGGAGCAAGCTCGAGAGAGCAGAATCAATGAGGCAGGTCCTGGTAATGCCCGCCCGATGTCCGACATGCCCCCACCACAGAGGCATGCAGATCTGGCCAGAAGCCAACAGGCCGAGCAAAGCATACCGGCGAGTAGTCCCAGCTCGCAGAAAGTCACGCCCGGTCCAGTCCTGAACGCGTTTGATCGGATGCGACCGACTCGCACACCATTACAGCAGGCTGAGATCACAGTCGGGGACGTGACAACCACGACGATGATTGGCAACAGTCCGCCGCACAAAAGGCGACGTATCCACACGCCGAACGACTCTCAAGCAGTTGCCAAGTTCGGTGCGAGTCCGTCGCTGGCACACGGTCTCCGAAAGAGCTTTGCTGCACCTGGCTCCCAGCTTCAGATCGACAGTAGCGCGATTTCGTTCGACAAAGGACCTAGTGACGAGGAAGGCGACGACGATTGTGAGGATGCGGAAGACGGTGAGAGCGGGGAGGAACCAGAAATCGACGGTCGAGGGGAAGAAGACTGCACTGCATCGCGAGATCCTTTCACTTCGGATGCTATGGAAGACCTCGTCCCAGCGCCTGCTAACGACGACGAATGGGATGAGGACTACACGGATGACGAAGATAGAAAGATTAGAGAAGACGAAAAGGTTGCACGTCTGATACAGCAAGCTGAAGARGCTGCGGCACGGCCGACAGATGAGAACCTGAAGCGAGCATCGCAAGTCATGAAGAACATTGGTAATAGGAAGGACTCGACGTTACACATAGCCCAATCTGTGGCTACGACAATCACCAAGATCAAGCAGCAGCATGCACATCTTCAATCACATTCCTGCGCTTGTGTCGATCAGGAAGAAGGATCTGCCGACAACWCCATTGTCAAGGGCGAGCTGGACAATGCTGAAGCTGAGAGCCGCCTGTCGCTGACAGTCATGAAGACTGACTTCGCCCGCATGCGGATCATCGGGCAGTTCAATCTAGGCTTCATACTCGCCGTTAGACCTGGTGCTACTCCTGAAGATGAAGATGATCTCTTCATTATCGATCAGCACGCAGCAGATGAAAAGTACAACTACGAACGTCTGCAGCGTACAGTGACGCTCCAAAGTCAACGCCTCGCTCGTCCTAAACCACTTGAGCTCACGGCGATTGAAGAAGAGGTCATTCTAAGTAACATCGATGCTCTCAAAGCGAATGGCTTCGAGATTGAAACCAAATCTCACCTAGACGGTGATGAAGATGACAACGAACCTGCCGGACGTCGTTGCCGACTAATCGCTCTACCCATGAGCAGAGAGAAGACCTTTGACATCTCAGATCTGGAGGAACTGCTGCACCTCCTCTCCGAAGCACCTCCTGGCGGCAGTGAGATACCACGGCCGAGAAAAGTCCAGAAAATGCTTGCGATGCGGGCTTGTAGAAGCAGTATCATGGTCGGCAAAACGTTGACGATGAAGCAGATGGAGAAGGTCGTGAAACATATGGGTGAGATGGAGAAACCCTGGAACTGTCCGCATGGAAGACCAACGATGCGGCATTTGGCTGGTCTTGGGGCTTGGCAGGGATGGAAAGATGGGCAGATGTTCGAAGATGAAACGAGGGAGTATGGGGCTGGAGGCAAGACGGATTGGGCGGCGTGGATGAAGGATAGGAAGAAGTGAGCCGGTATTGTACAGGTATTTGAAGGTTCGAGGGTGGAAGTATGGGCAAGTGTTGACTATCTTGTGATTATTTATTGATACCCCATGAAAGCAGAGCCTAGTCTAGTCTCAAGCGATTCATCTCCATGAACCAGGGCCGGCATAAGTGAAGGATCGTGCAGTTGGGAAGACACTTCCAGTGTAAGACTTGACTCTCCGCGAGACCGCTTGCTCTTGTTGGCGTGACTACATTCGCGAGCGTGGTCAGCGATGTAGGCCAGGGAGAGGCGAAGAGCTTCAAACTCTCAATCCCTCGAATCCTCATTGACCCGTGCGTTCAGCTGTCTGCCGTCCGTCACAAAGTTCTCTCCCTCGATCGAATGCAGTCTCGACGGCGTTGATGTTTGTGATGTGGCAAAAAGAATCCCTTCTTCCAAACGCCCATTTCAAAACCTCGAGATCAATCTCTCTCTCAGCCGCCTGATCATAACCCGAGCTTCTTCGAGTTGAAGTCTGAAGACACGACCATCGGCCGAGATCTTCCTGTTGAGCTGCCTGACTTCAAGGTCCTGAGAACGAAGCTCCTCGTTCTTGCGTCGGATCTTACGCTCCAGGTAATCGACTCGGGATTGAAGTGTTGGTACGTCAGTTCCGTATTGCTGGCGGCATGACTCGTTGAGGCGGCTGGACAGTGGTGAGGTACGCTGAGCCATGGGCAAGTTACTTGTTGTCGAGTTGGATTCGAAGAGGGCGTTGGTCACTCTGTTCTCCTTTCTGTCCGTAGAAAGAGATGTGAGCTTACGCGGCTCAGGGGGTATTTCGTTTGAAGTGATTGATGCTCGTCAATAGAATGGTTGCTAGTTGCTTGGTCCATGCTGTCGCAACTGGAGACGTTGAGCATTTATGGGGGGCGTTACTCATTCCATGCTGCTGGGTACAAAGCGTGGTGTATGATTCCCCTGAGACAGGCAAAGACAAACTACGACCAAAATTGAGACAGAGACACGCACTACTTGGTCATACCGGATTATTCCAGGGTATCTATCCGCTCGAATGACATTCATACCCAGCAGATCATGGGATTGGTCCAACAACAATTGAGTAATGTCTTGTACTGGCACTACATCAACCCTAGCCCTAACCCTAACCCTAGCATCTGCGGCGTTGGTGACAACGWAGCTTGTCGGGCTTTCTCGAAGGATACCAATGACGGGACTCACAAAGTGTACTCATGATTACCAAGTCTATACCGCTTATCAAGCTGTGTGAAGAGGAGAGCATTGTAGCCGTCTGTAGCTCAAGACTTCAAGGGGACGCAGCGAACTCACTCTGTTGGATTCGCTACCTTCTTTGCAACAGCGACTCACCTCCAGAGAGATCCAACAGGACGGTGAATCTTCTCACAGAGGCAGCAGATGAGCTGCTGATCTGAGCACACGGACGGAGGGAGCGACAAGCCTTGCTGAGCTTTCAACTAGCACGTGAGAGGGACCGTATTGGGACTTTCGCATGTGTCGTTCCCCATTCWCGACATAATCGATGGACTGATCAGGAGCTTCGCCGTTGTCTAGTCGGGGTGAGCTCGAGGCGCGACATAGTCATTGTAGCGTCTCTTTGCATCGTCAGGGTTTCAAACCGGCAGAGTCCTCTCGAGCATCATGGCGCCTGTGCATTGGCAGCGAACTAATCCTCTCAAACTGTCATGAACGCAGGCCTGTGGTCATCAAGAACAAATTCAGCTACGGGGAGACGCGGTCCTGAGTCCTGACATCGTCTCGCGCAGTGAGATTGTGGAACCCATCTCGGTTGGCTTTCCGAGTATGAGATGTGGAGGAGACCGAATGTGGTGTGAAGTTGGACAAAGCTTTGGAGGGGTTTCAAAACTCCAGTAAGGTATTGCCAATGGAGCGTGAGAGCATTGTAATTGAAGCCTTGAAGTATCCATGTCTATCGACTGTGCAGCCTGATGCTCTTCGCACGGGTATCGATGTGCTGCCTCGAGGTCCGATCCCGAACCACATGTTGGGAGCGAGATGAAAAAATGTTGCTGCCATGGAGACAGAGCACGCTGTGACATCAGACCACAGACCCTCCATGCCCCCCACCATTGGATTTCTGGCAACATACGTCACAGTTGTCGCAGAACAAAATGATATCGAATGAAAGATATCAACATTTCGTGTAATCGATATGCGTGAGCCGTGGCAACGTTGTCACTGCCAGGGTAGATAGATCCAACGAGCAATTAATCCTTTTTCTACGCACTTCCAGCCACATCAAGTGCCTTCGAGATTTCGACACATGGTCCGTGCCCTGGTTTCTTCCAGATGATTCCCTGAGATTCCACGAACATTTCTGAAGAATAAAGACATCAAACGCCGCCGGATCTTTCTCTCTCCCACATCATCAACATCAACCTTCTTCAGTCTCACAACATCATCGAGACCACGAACTCCGCAACTTCAATCACGAGCACTTCCCTTTTTGATACCCCAGTTCATCTTCCTACACATTCGACACAACCTTCGCCATGGCACCAGCGATCGGCATTGACTTGGGCACGACCTACTCGTGCGTGGGAATCTTCCGTGATGACCGCATTGAGATCATTGCCAACGACCAGGGTAACCGCACAACACCCTCATTCGTTGCCTTCACCGACACAGAGCGTCTTATTGGTGACTCCGCAAAGAACCAAGTCGCTATGAACCCTATCAACACCGTCTTCGATGCCAAGCGTCTCATTGGCCGGAAATTCAACGACGCGGAAGTCCAAGCCGACATGAAGCACTTCCCATTCAAGGTCGTTGAGAAGGCTGGCAAGCCTAACGTGCAGGTCGAGTTCAAGGGCGAGGAGAAGACATTTTCACCTGAGGAGATCTCAGCGATGATCCTCACCAAGATGCGCGAGACCGCAGAGGCCTACCTCGGTGGTACCGTCAACAACGCCGTTGTCACCGTCCCCGCATACTTCAACGACTCGCAGAGACAAGCAACCAAGGATGCTGGTCTCATCGCCGGCTTGAACGTTCTCCGTATCATCAACGAGCCTACCGCCGCTGCCATTGCCTACGGTCTCGACAAGAAGACTGAGGGTGAGCGCAACGTGCTCATCTTCGACTTGGGTGGTGGTACCTTCGATGTGTCCCTGCTCACTATTGAGGAGGGTATCTTCGAGGTCAAGTCTACTGCCGGAGACACTCACTTGGGTGGTGAGGACTTTGACAACCGTCTTGTCAACCACTTCGTCAACGAGTTCAAGCGCAAGGTATGTTTCGTATGAACCCTGAATAATCACAACAACGTACTGACTTCTATCACAGCACAAGAAGGACCTGACTGCCAACGCTCGTGCTCTCCGCCGCCTGCGCACCGCCTGTGAGCGCGCGAAGCGTACCCTCTCCTCCTCCGCACAGACCTCCATCGAGATCGACTCACTCTACGAGGGTATCGACTTCTATACCTCCATCACCCGTGCCCGTTTCGAGGAGCTCTGCCAAGACCTCTTCCGCTCCACAATGGAGCCCGTCGAGCGCACTCTCCGCGACGCTAAGATCGACAAGTCTTCCGTTCACGAGATTGTCCTCGTCGGTGGATCTACCCGTATTCCCAAGATCCAGAAGATGGTCTCCGACTTCTTCAACGGCAAGGAGCCTAACCGCTCCATCAACCCCGACGAGGCCGTCGCCTACGGTGCCGCTGTCCAGGCTGCTATCCTCTCCGGTGACACTTCCAGCAAGTCCACCAACGAGATCTTGCTCCTCGACGWCGCGCCGTTGTCTCTCGGCATTGAGACTGCCGGTGGTGTCATGACTCCTCTCATCAAGCGCAACACCACCATCCCAACCAAGAAGTCCGAGACTTTCTCAACCTTCTCCGACAACCAACCTGGTGTTCTCATCCAGGTCTTTGAGGGCGAACGCGCCAGAACCAAGGACAAGTGAGTGGTTACCTTCCTTCTCCCTGTTTTCTTCCCTTTTCCCTCCCCTCTCCCCCTTGGGGCGATGTTCAAGAGGCATGAGTTCCGCACTCGGCGACTCCGTTAACCTTTCCTGTGCGGGATCAATGCGTCTTGAATATCGCCCATCTCCCCCTTGGGGCGATGTTCAAGAGGCATGAGTTCCGCACTCGGCGACTTCGTTAACCTTTCCTGTGCGGGATCAATGCGTCTTGAATATCGCCCACATCGGCAACATCACCCAAATTCATTTTGTTTTTTCGACCTGACACTAACATATTAATAGCAACTTGATGGGCAAATTCGAGCTCACTGGAATTCCACCTGCTCCTCGCGGTGTTCCCCAGATCGAAGTTACCTTCGACTTGGACGCCAATGGCATCATGAACGTCTCTGCTCTCGAGAAGGGCACCGGAAAGACCAACAAGATTGTCATCACCAACGACAAGGGTCGCCTGTCCAAGGAGGAGATCGAGCGCATGCTCGCGGAGGCCGAGAAGTACAAGGAGGAGGATGAAGCCGAGGTTTCCAGAATTGCGGCCAAGAACGCTCTTGAGTCCTACGCCTACTCCCTCAAGAACACTCTCTCCGACTCCAAGGTCGAGGAGAAGCTGGATGCCTCCGACAAGGAGACACTCAAGGCCGAGATCGACAAGACCGTGGCCTGGTTGGACGACAACACCACTGCTACCAAGGATGAGTACGAGAGCACCCAGAAGGAGTTGGAGGGTGTTGCCAACCCCATCATGATGAAGATTTACGGTGCCGAGGGTGGTGCCGGTGGCATGCCTGGCGGTATGCCCGGTGGTGGTATGCCAGGCGGCGCTCCTGGCGCTGGCGGCGATGACGGCCCAACCGTCGAGGAGGTCGACTAAGCATCTTCGCCTTCGCGTACTTTGTCCCTTCTTGATTGATTGCATGGCAGCACGGCGTTTCACAAGGGTTAGAGGAAAGCATGGGATTCACGATGCGACGATCAGATGCAAAAAAGCATCAAGTGTAAATTTAGCGATTGCTGCCTCAAGTGAGGCTTCCTGCAATGAAAACAGTTCAATATAATTGATTTCAACATTTTCTCATGTTCTGTGAATTTGCCTTTAACTGAAGCTTGCTAAGTTGGGAGTCTTTGACCATCTGCTCGCCTTTCAAGATGATTCGTCCAATCGGCTGGTGAAAGTGAAGATTGCCGCTTCTCCATGTGGTGAATGGCCGACAACGCTCACGAACAGGGAGCGGCAAGCTCAAAAAGCAGCAGGCTTGCGGAGAGTCAAATGTGGAGGGTCGATTCCGAAAAATGGATTCTCAACCACTGTTATACAAATGTAATTTTTTTGGCCTGCTATAGGTATTTTTAGCAGAGCTGTCGATATGGGATTTATTTATCGGATATGTTCAATCCTCATATTAGCATCCTCAGTCTATACGATGCCCTAAGACCTCGCTCTCTGCAGGCTCGACAATCTTTAGCCTGTTGGATTCCTTGCCAGTAGCCGAGTGGCTTATTACTCGATGGAGAGAGCATTTTAGACGGTGATTATTCATCGGATATAAAAATCACAAATCCTCATATCGACAACCAAGTCCTCCACAAAATGCCCTAAGACCTCGCTCTCTGCAGGCTCGACGATCTTTAGCCTGCTAGATTCCTTGCTAGTAGCTGAGTAGCTTATCACTCATCGGAGAGAGCATTTCAGAGGGAGATTATTTATTGGATATGTATAATCACAAATCCTCATATCGACATCCTTAGTCTACACAATGCCTAAGGGCCTCGCTCTCTATAGGCTCGACGATTCTAGGCCTGCTAGAACCGTTGCTAGTAGTAGAGTGGCTTATTACTTAATGGAGCGAGCATTTCAGAGGGGATTATTCATCGGATCTGTATAATCCTCATGTCGACATCCTCAGTCATCCACAAAATGTCTTAAGGCCTTGCTCTCTACAGGCTCGACGATAGCTGTCCCGCTAGAATCCTTGACAGTAGCAGAGTGGCTTATCGATCAACGGAGAGAGCCTTTCAGGGCTTTGGTCCTGTTGAAGATCTCTCATAAAGACACCTACAGGTCATTCTTCGAGTCCGCTTTGACAACTTCACATATCATCCGGAACGCCTCGCTAAAAGAACAAGCATCACAACTGCCACAGCTCAATCCCGATCATATCCAATCTGGCCCTTGGGATCGCCGCGCTCTCGCTCCTGATCCAGCTTCCTCTCTTCTTGTCTCCGCCAATGGCTACCCTCCTCATAGTCTTTACTGATCCCAAGCGCTTTGCGCAGCTTCTCGCTCTCATCAATCTTTGCTCTAGCTAGCTCGTGCACCTGATGACTCTTCAATCCCTTCGCATTTGGCCCACTGGTACTCTTTTCTGACAGGAGCTTTTTCCGTAGCGCATCGCATTGATCGTCGATCTCATCTTCGTCCACACTGCATGGAGAAGCCAGTTAGCAAGTTTTCGTGTGTCGTTGTTCAAGGTCCGCGACCGTACCCTTCATCTTCCAGCTTATCACGTAGCTCGAATACCTTCACTTCGACYTCGCGTTTGCGATCGTGTTCGAGGATCTCCTGGTCAGGCTGGCGCTGGCGATGGCGGATCGCGTCGAAGCCATCTTTTGGGTACGGCGCGTTGTTGTCGCGGGGGCGGAGATTTGCTGCGTTCTTTTGGACATAGCCCGATGTTCCGGAGCCACGAGGGGTATTTAACCCTACATTTGACGACATGGTGTGTCCGATGTTGGTCGTGGGAAGGGAGAGAAGCGGGGTGGAGTGTACAGCAGTTTCGCACTAGCGTCAGATGGATGAGTGAGATTGTACTTGTACGTGAAGGAGAATACTCATTTCGTCCTCGCACTGAGTGAAGGCGATGAGATTCTATCCGTACAAAAGTAGAGTGTCATTTTGCTGCTACATCACATGCAGAAAGCGAATTATCTATCATCTATTCCATCCAAATTGCTCAAATTTTGATGCAGGCTGATCAATTGACCCCGCCAATGACGCCAATCAGCACATGAAAGATGCATTCGAGTCAWCGCGACTTTTGCTGTGAGTGAGAATCATCCGCAGCGACAACTTCACACCTTTCCAGGTTTGCTCCCCACCTCCCTCTCATCCCATAACAATCACAATGCCAGTAATCATGGACGACAGCGACGACGAGCGGCGAGTTGGGACACCCTCGACCGCGAAACTCCCCTTCCCGCCYGTCACCAAGTCACACATCATGCACTGCTCCTTCCACTCATGGCACCCCAAATACCGCACCATCACACCCAAGGCCCGGGTCATTCCGCTCTCCCAACCCTTCATCGACTACCTCCGCGCAGACGGCATTATCCTCCCATCCGACGACGATGCACAAGATGCGAACGACAGCGGGTTCTACTCAGACGCGCAAGACGATGACAGCGATGACGAGGACGAGGATGTTGCTGCGAGCTGGCGTGAGGTACATGAATCAATCAGAGCCACAATCGCTGAGCTAGGTGGAAAGGTTTACCCCAAACTCAACTGGTCTGCGCCCAAGGACGCCACTTGGATGAACGCCAATACGATGGAGTGCCGTACGCCCAATGATATTTACCTGCTGCTGAAGAGCTCTGACTTTGTCACCTTTGATCTCGAGCATGCCTTTCAAGATTGTGTAGATTCCCCCGACTCCAGAATTACAACCAACGACATTCCCTTCCACCTCATCCTACGTAAAAGCGTCACGACATACAACCCTTCGGTCGAGTTCCGATGTTTTGTTCGCGAGAGAAAGTTGCTATGTATCTGCCAGCGCGACCTCAACCACTATGAATTTTTGGAGAAGATGGAGGGAAAGCTCAAGAGTATGATCAAAGAGTTCTTCGACGTACGGTTGCGGGATACCTTCGACGATGAGAGTTTCGTCTTCGATGTCTACATCCCCCAGCCCTTCAATCGTGTATGGTTGGTGGATGTAAACCCCTGGGCTCCACGGACAGATCCTCTCCTCTTCAGCTGGATGGAGCTGCTGGACAAAGAAGCACCCCCAGAGCCCGAGGAGCCAGAGGAGATTCCGGAGGGTGCATTCGCGAGAGTCTATATTGGACGACCCGGCATCATGGAGAGCCATACGCCCGCGAGTCCACAGGAGAGCATGAATACGCCTTCAGAATCTGGGAGCGAGGAGGAAGAACTAGACGAAGAGATCTTTCTCCCTGAGCTCAGACTGGTCCGTAAGAATGATCCGGAAGCTTACAACTTCAGCCACACGCAGTACAGTGCTCATAAGCTACCCAAGGACGTGGTAGATGCAAGTCAAAGTGGTGAGGGCTTGCGGGAGTTTGCGAGAGACTGGCAAAACATTCTAGAACAGAGAAAGGCGGCAGAGGAGGCGAATGGCGATAGTGATTGATGACGCCCTGTCGTGAGGAATGAAAGAAGTATTCAAGGTACTCCAGGACCTTCAAATCCCTCATGCAGAAAGTGGCACGATTCCATCCACCAGTCTACATTGATGGAGGCATGCAGCAGACTTCGCCCTGAGATCTCTGAGCGGATCCGCGCAACTGCCGCGCTTCACGGCGAAGGGCGATCAAAGATGGCACGCCTCCGGATGAACGTCCAGATTGACGGATGCACATGGTTCCGAGACTGGTTTCCAATAAGTATTTATGCAACGTGGCTACCTCTTCTCTGCGTCTCGTCTGCAAGTGAATGCGTTATCAAGCATAATTTCAGGGGTAACGAGCGAACTGTCTGATTGTTACACCAATCTCAAGCTTACGAGACTGTGTATATGGTTGTTATAGACCAATACAATCTAGATTTGTCACCTGAACTACTTCACCCGCAGCACATGGCAACGCCATTCTGACATTAGCATGCATACGTAGGAATCGCGCTATGTTAAGGACCCAGTAGGCATAGTCTCAACACTTATCTGATCATGATCGATTACCAGCGGGTTGAAAAACCTCGCACAACCTTCTCACCTGAACGGACTATGCGCCGCCGAGGCGGAAGGCTTCCAGATTGTCAAGTCTTCTGCGATGTATCGAGAAGCCATCCCGCCGACCGCCGTGAATAGGGCAATTTTGTCATTTCATAGCTCAGATGTCTGGATGCGGAGCCGTGTTACTTGATTTCGATGAGAAATTGAGGAACCTTTGATCTTCGACCTCGTTTCTGCTTTATGAGTCTACGCCCAATGAATCTCGTAAGTCGACGAAGTGATCCCGGATCTCGTCAGCGAGCTTGCCCTCGGTCTCCCCAATGATTGTGCATACCAGCGAATAGTTGTTGTACAAGAACCTTTCTCGTTTTCGCGCTTYCGGAATCCCCTTGCTGAGCTTGGTCAAGAACGCGCCGAAATCTCCCCTCAGCCTGCGCAAACTGTTGCTCACCGGCTCATCGTCACCTGCTTCACTACTCAAAGCAAGTAGACCCTGCACAAAATTGGCGAATCGCTGGGTGAGTGGATGAGGTGCAGTAGTCTGCGACGAGGAGGAGGTCAAGCCAAGCGCAGATCCTACCGGTTTTCCGGAAAGCGCAGCGGTAGCCTTGCGAATGGATTCGCAGTGGGCGTCAATAACCTGCTGGAAGCGGGGCCAAAGCAACATGTTGGTGGAGTTGATGTAGTTCTCTGCGACAGGAACCTTTCTCCTCTGGAGTTCAAACGCGAAATGCTGGGTCAAGCGAACGCATGTCAAGATGCCCAATGCGTCAAGACTCTGTTCGATCAGTTGTTTGGTCAAGGCCCGTCCCAACTCGAAAGTTGGCAGAAAGATGTCGTTGAACCTCCTGTTCGTAGTGTGGAAGGGTTGCTTGGAGAAAAACTCGGTCAGAAATGAGTATTCTGCGCATGCGTTGTCCACGAGAGCCAGATTCAATGCTCGGAAAGGCACTTCAAGGTAATGTGTTCCTTTGTCATCTTCCGCAGCAAAAGATGGCAAGGCTACGTTGTTCGAAGTGAGCAGGATGTCCATWCGTCGTCCAATTGAGAATGCATCGTGCGGCGGGCCTACTTTCGCGGTCCGCTTGACATTGCTATCCAATGCCAACACTTCCGTCTGGTCAATGGCATGTATGGCGAGTGATTCGAGCGCGGTTTTGTATCGTGTGAAGTTTGAGAGATAGTACCACCGCATCGTATTGGAATATGCTTGAGAAATCTCCTCCGCAAGTGGAGGCTGCATCTTAGCGAGGAAGGCAAAGACGTCCTTGTAGCGCAAGAAGCTGTTTTGCTGTATGATCTGCGCATTGATGTTGGGAGATCGTAAAGCCTTGATCTGTGCTACAACATAATCGCGTATACGTTCGACTGCCTTGCCGGAAACGTCCTGAATGAATGGCTGAACGTCCTGCGCCGCCTTGATGTCTTTGCCTTCGGCGATTTTGGCGTCGATCGATTTGGATCGTCGCTCGAGTTCTTGCAATGATCTAATCCATTGGTCGTCTACCGCGCCTTCTGTGATTTTGCGCACCACACTTGGAGGTATGCCGAATGCTTCCACTTCCGGACCGAGCACCTTCTCAACCGCTTTCCTATTCTCCAGCTTATTGTTGAGCGTGGTCGATCGATCTTGCAGCGTCTCAATCTCTGAAGAGACAGCTGCCAATTCGGCCTGGAAGCTGGTGAGATACGACTCGACCGATTTGAGAACCTCGTCACAGGCGAGAATGGACTTGTGAAGATCCTCAAATTTGTCCTTGTCCTTCTCAAAATCATTGATCGCGGCACGTTCCTTGACAGCAATATCGTCGCCGACAGAGTTCTGCTCAGGGCGGCCATTGGCAAAGGCCTCCAAACTCAGCCCGCGGAAGTCGATGTTGTCCGCTAGTGCCGCATAGTCCAGCCCATGTAGTTGACCGTCTCGCGCATTCTCGTCGACCCGCTGGAGCGGTCCTATGATGTCCTGCAAAACGTCGAGCGGATCCGCAACATCGGTAGCAGAGTCAGCCAGCTGCTCTCTCAGATTTGAGCCATTGGGCACCCTTGCCGTCGCAGGCAAGCTTTCGGTCGATGCGGCCAGCGAGGCGACCGAGAGGGAGGAGCTGCGCGGCTGAATGCCTGGCCGGCGGAGCTGTGCAGGAGCGGGGCCCGGAGGACGGCGAGGTGCCGGCGAGAAGGATCGATTGGGAGTCGCTGCCGGCGTCGACTCCCGCGAGTGTGCTGAGAAGCGTTCAAGCCACATGTCCTCTCACTGCTCAGAGTCGAAGTCGAGGCCAAACCAACCCGGTAGTGGGCGAGTGTAGCTCGGCGCTCGGCCAATCAAACCCATCACAAGAAAGCCGCATTTCGCTTTCTTCTCCTCCACTTCCACTCCTCTAAAATCCTCGACACTACTCTTCCGCCATCACCACATTCCCTTCGGACCATCCACCCGCAACCCCCACCCCCCMCAGCTTCATTCATCATGGCCGAAGCCAACAACGACGCCCAGGTATGTGGCCATGTCCCGAGCCAGTCTCACCACCGCCGCGCACACCCCGCTCTACCCCTCCTCTCTTCACACAGTCTCGAAATTGCGCCCCAGAAGCTAACGTAGCCGTCTTTACAGCATGAGATGTCCTTCGACAGCGCCGATGCCGGTGCTTCGCTCACCTTTCCTATGCAGTGCTCCGCATTGAGGAAGAACGGCTTCGTGGTGATTAAGGGCCGCCCATGCAAGATCGTCGACATGTCCACCTCCAAGACCGGCAAGCACGGTCACGCCAAGGTCCACTTGGTCGCTACCGACATCTTCAACAGCAAGAAGTACGAAGAGCTCTGCCCATCTACCCACAACATGGATGTCCCCAACGTCTCGCGTCGCGAGTTCCAGCTTGTAAGAACATATTTGCATGAATTCGTCGCGTCGCATTTTGGCTGACTCACTTTGCGCAGCTCGAGATCACCGACGACGGTTTCCTTTCCCTCCTAACCGACAGTGGTGACCTGAAGGAGGACGTCAAGGTTCCAGAAGGCGAGCTTGGTGGCAGAATTAATAAGATGTTCAAAGTGGACGAGAAGGACACCAGTAAGCGACAGATCTGGATATTCTGCCTCACGACCGCGTTATCAACTGACACTCGACTAGACGTCATCATTCTTACCGCCATGGGCGAGGAGTCCTGCATCGATGTGAAGGAGGCTCCCAAGGGCGCTTGAGCGCGCATGATATGTCTCCAGCGCGAGCACCTTGCTCCAGAATTGGGGACTTTACTTATGGATATAACGAATGCGGCATGATGGGTGATTTAGAGCGAGAACTCTCGCCATGGGAATAGCCGCGTGTTGCTAGCCGCTTGCCCTGGCGCCTCATTGGCATCTATGAGAAGACCGGTGGAGAGAGCTCGTTGCGGCAAAAAAGTCCACCGTTTTGATCTGCCCTGTTTTATTTTCCTCATCACTCTGTGAAACGTAGGTACTCTGTGTGGATTCCATCTCTGAGCAGTGCGCGAAATGCGCGTAATCCCAACTTACCGATTCCGTCCGGCGTATGACGGCCTTGGAAAGATTCAACCGGGCTGCTATGACTACATGTAGTAGACTAGAATATTTCGAACTTTGGTGTGATTTTAACTTCAACACGTGAAGACGCTGCTTTCTGCAACGCGCACCTCACCTCAACAACATTCATGGTCCCGACTCCTGTCAACATATGCATCCTCTCAAGATGCGAGCGTGTTGCTTCGAAAACATGATTAAGCAAGACGCCTCGCGCAAGCCTCCATTCTTTGCCGCAAAATCTCAAGTCTCCACGTCTCACTTCCTGGATCATGTCGTCAAGACGGCATAAGCGACTGCAGTGTTCCCACGATGGCTGTGGTTCCCGGCGCATCACCACTGGCGATGATGGCTTCCGATACTGCGATCAAGGACATCAACAATCAGAGGTTCGTCGCAGGACGCGCGTTGATCGAACAAAATTCTAATGGTGATATCAGCTTGGCACAGTCGTCGCCGAGGACACCGGTGAACTCCCCAATCACGGCAAAACTTCCCGTAGAAGGGATCTGGACGCAAGTTCCTTCACAAGCAGGGGCAAGCAATCTTCTTCCGCTGCAAGGTATGCGCAAGAACTGACACAAAACAGCTTCTGGATTCAGCGGCACCAGAGCATTCGAGCACTACCTTCTGTGCATGCAGGTCGTCATGCGAAAGCAGCTACAGTGGCTGATCGATGTTCAGCGCTTGCCTACAGAGCTCGAGGTAAGGATCCACCCATTCCCCTTTCGCCAATTCTGATGTATCGACAGACCGTGGTGAGGGACCTGTGGGCTTTGCGATTGCAGAAAGTTCAAGGCCGTGCCACCTACGACTCGGAAACCGACACGGAAGCTCAGCGCTCGGAAATGTTCAGTTCTCAATCCGAAGGCGAATCGGGTACAGATGCTGCGACACTCAATTCCCAGCGCAGCAGACAGGCAAGCCGCAGAAAGTCTCGCGGTCCCAGTCTTCTCGATCTGGTATGCTTGGAGTACATCGGCGCCATGCTCCTAAAGATCCCTCTCACCGTTTCGGATCTTCACAATTGGATCAGTCATGGGGAACTCTTATACTACCGAGCCGCGAAAGAAGTGTCGTTATCAATGAGGATACACCTACCTGGCTACCTGCAAGAACAATTCGAGCCGCAATCGATCATCGCACCTGATGCTATCCACCGGAATGTCTCAAATCTACTCCTATCGATGCAGACAGACATGGGAATGACGCCACCTCCACTCAATCACTCCCTAGTGCTCTATCGATGGATACAAGAGCTTTCTCTGCCTCTGGAGGTATATGTGGGCACCCAACGTCTCGCGACTTTGCTAGACCTTGATTACTGCTATAGCCTGGACGCCAAAGCTGGGACAAACCAGAGTCTCCGATATCCGGAGGTTCGGCTAATGGCTGTGGTCATCATAACTACGAAATTGCTCTTCCCTTTTGACGACTCCAGACGATATCCCAAAGCACCCAATGACATGGCCATGCTGAAGATGGACTGGACATCATGGGCTGACATGCAAAAGGTGGAGGCCCTACTTGCCGACGAGCAGCCCGTCAAGAAAGGACTTAGTTATGAAAATGCCTTTAGTATGACGGAAGCTGATAGCATTGCTCTCAGCGACGACTCTTTGGATCAATATCTGGACTGGTGTGAGAACAACATAGCCTCTGAAGACATTCGAGATCGTGGGAAAGCTGCAAAGGAAGCTGAATATCGGCGAGCGTTGTTCGAGTGGTTTCCGTCCACTGCCCGGCCGGGAGCATCTCGACCAAGGAGCGCAATCCTTGATGCGGTCCCATCTGTGCAACAGAGAGCTGTCCACTCTCAAGAAAATCTTCGTTTGGGGCGAATTGTACAAGAAGATGGTAGCGACGACATTCCCCGGGTGGGTATGAGCCATGCTCAGTACAGAACCAGAGATGAGCTACATGGCACCAGCAAACTATTCTATCAGAGAGCTTCTCGAGTTGCTGGCTACTCCGTTCACGGCATGGTGCGAGCCGCGTTTCTGTTGGAAAGGCAAATGCTGCAGCATGAAAAGCTCCAGCGCAAGTCACGAAAAACGTAGCAACGCCACCACTATCGACCCCCGGCCAATACCCAGCCTGCGAGCGACGAGCGTGGACCCTGCGCCGTGGATGGAGAGATCTCCAGGTCTCAGTCGACCCACGATCTCTCTGCGAATTCTTTCAAACCGYCACTTCAGCGTCCAGCCACCGCTAATTCGCTTCCGTTGTGACTTCCAACGGGATGTACCACTTCGTTCCTGGGCGCTTCCATCGGRGCCTGGATGCCAGAACGACAGATCGATAAAACTAGCGAACGGTTCGAAGAATTCCCGCCACTCCATTATCGAGCAATCTCGCGCTGCACAAAGTCACGTCGCATGGTGCAACTTCCAGTGGGTTGCATTGACGCCAGCACTTTTTGACAGCGAGCACTGTCCTTTCACACCACAATTTGGGTAGCGGTAGATCGCTTGCCATCCCGAAGTTGTCGCGTCTAAAAGCCGCGATTTGCCTGGGGTGCAACGTGGTTTGCACGGGCAAGGCTGGTCATGTCCTGGGCACGTCAATAATGTCCACGGCCCCTGAGCGACAGCTCCCGTGCACATTGGCTGGAACTTCCGCTCCGTAGAGGACAAGCAAGCATGCCRAATGAGATGACTGCACCCGAACGTGTTAACCCTGCCGTATAAACAAGGTAGCAGCCGGCCAACCAAGCTAGTCAATTTGTTATATGTAAGCCGTTGGCCCCTTGAATATGCACAGCTGCGTGCAAAAACAGGTGCAAAGGTTGCTTGTGCGCGAACTGCTGCACACTCAAAGCAGGGTGTGGCGCGTCATGCACCGTAAATCGTTTTCGAACGAATCCCGCTCGCCATATGCGATGGTGTTGGGAGGAGATCGAAGCCGGGGTCTGCGGTACTGATCCCCGCTATTTTCCCGCTATTTTAAGCTTGCCCTTGGTAAATTCGCAACGGAAACCTCACCGCGCGCCAAGTTCACGAACAACCACTGAACAACCCTCCCGCACGCAGGGCGCCGAACGCGCCTTGCGGAGGGCTTGGAGGTGTTTGATCATTAGTTCACCTGATGAGGCAGAACCCGCAGGGTGTCGGACGATTCCGAGGCGATCTCGCGCGTGCGCCGCAAGGGATGTGAGGGATGGCCGAATTGTGTATCCGCCCCATCGCAGAGGCGGTCGGAGGCTCTTCTTTGTGCAGCTCGCAACGCGCCACCCGCGAATGACCGACGGCTGGCCATTCTAAACCGGACAAACCAGGAGCGGTCCAGGACAATGTCCCTGTGGCTCTTCCAGCGGGCAGCATTGTTCACATCACAGTATCGATAACCTTTTTAAGCTTCGACATGGCAAGGTTGTTGGTGCCGGTGATTATCCTCCAACGATGTCCATTTTCAGACGATGGTCTGCTTTGCTGCTCTGGGGTGTTCGCACGATGCAATCTGGCGTGCCGTGGACGGCACTGGCTGGCGTCATTGAGCCACTCGCTGGCCAAACTGCCCATTTGGCTCTTCGTTGATCGACTGATCCTCTCTGTGGCCAGCCTTCTCTTCTCAATCCGTGTTCTACACAGGCCCCGTTGGGTACCGATCGTCTCGTCGCCTTTCGTCGTCAARCTGGGCTATTGGATATACACTACGATCCGCACCCGGCAATTATCAGAGTCTAATCTGACGAAGTAGCTGCGACCCTCTCGCCGAACGTACGCTTGAAAACTTGGGATCCGCTCACTTTCAGACATTCCGAAACGCAGACCTCTATTTGRCTCAGCCCTCCAACCCTGCGGTCGTCCACCCCGGACCTGCTTCGTGGACTTGGTTGCTATCCGCGCCCACCTCGCGAATAGACAGACGACAGATACCTGCCGAGCCTCCTTGACACAAGACGCAAACCGGCGCATTCTGTGGCCAGGAAACCGCGTTACCGGTGACTGGTAAACGGCTTGTGGAACCTCACCAACAGATTAACATATTCGGTGCACTGGCAGCCTGCACGTCTACTTGGAAGGTCCAAACTCGTGGGAAGCTTTACATCAGGTGACTCTGGTAATAATCAACTCCCCAGACATTCCTTCGCCCAATTGATCGAACTCGCTCGATCTTGCCGCGACGCCAGCCCGGCGCATTGGCAACCAACCAGGACACAGAGCCGCTGACAGGTCCTGAGCGCCCGCTGCCGCAAGTGAGGTTCGTTCTTCTAACCTTCCTTGCATGAAACCTTTTGCCCTCCTTTGCCGCTGCGAAACCTCAGCTTGTCTCTAAACCGACGGTCAGTCCGCGGACAGTGGAGCAAGATCACACTCCTGTAGCCCTTCAAATCGACCTCGAGGGCTGCCACTTCCGCATGAAGCGTTGAAACACATTCTGATCCATGATCAACGAGACTGATCATTGCTTCATCTCATAGACCCGACAGCCATCATTCCCGCGGCCCGCACGACAAGAGGCGCTCCGTGCCCTACTTTCTTTGTTCCTGGGGTATGATTCAAACTGCAATTCGAAATGATCTGATCAGCGCAACGTCATCAATGCTAACAACAGCTCAGGTGCCTTGATTCCGTCCTTGGCCAAATCAGGATATCTACGAATCTGTTGCTTTGATACCGCGTCTGCAATTCGCGGCGGGAACGCACAGTCGCGGAACGCCAGCTCCTTGGTCCCAGCGACGGGAAGAACCCTGCAATTTCCTGCGAACGACTGCACGAGCATCAGATTGTTAGATACTGGACTGGAAGTTATTCTTTGACGCGGCTGAGAGCTGCTGCCGGTGCGGGAGCGGCATTCTGATACTCGCATCAAAGAAATAGCGCCATATCTGCATGTCTCTGGACGGATAGCTGCTGCGAACCCACCCCACTAGTTCGCTCAGCCCACTGGCCTGGCATTGGGTCGGACTGGGCACGCTCGCCACCACTCAGAGTCGTACAGCTGGCAGCCGACTGCCTCTTTAACATTTGCTCATCTGTTCGAGTGGTCGCTCTCGTGAAATTCGTCTCCGAGCGACGACTGTATGCGTCAGCAGGTGTGTCGCATCCCAACTTGATTCGCATTCAACGATCACATTTGATCCGTTTCTCCTTTCTCTTTCCTCCTTACCACAAACCACTGACCTATTCTGTGCAGGAGGATCGACGGGATAGCAAGACTTTCGCTGCTGCTGCTGTCGATGAAGAGTGCAACATTCAAACCGCCCCTGCTGAGAATCATCGATCCCATCACGACGAAGGGCCGCCGGCCCAGGCGGACGCGCAAAGCTACGTGCTGTCGATGTCGGATTACGACGGCAAAGCACACGCTTACGATGTGTATGGTGAGTGCTTTTCTGATTTTTGAATTGATTGTGATGGTGGTCTCAAGATCATGGTTGCCTTTGACGCTCGGGACGGGGCACACGCGGCTCTCTCCGCGGGCGTGGGAGGGCTGAGCATGTGCACAAGCAGATGACTGACGTGACGCACACCACAGACTACCAAGCAGCCACACGGCCGCAGCAGGGGCAGCAGCATGTCTATGCCGGCTATTCAACACACCCAAACTACCCGGGCGACTATGTAGCTCCTCAGGCGCAGGTACCATCTGGCCTTCCCCAATCATCCAGCACGCTCGGCCTTGTGCCATCTGCTCAACAATACGGCACGCATGATACAACCTATTATGGTCAGCAGGTGCCTCAATACCCTGCATATCTTGAAGCGGCTCCTCGTCCTTGCCCGGAGATAACCTCATACACGCCACAACAGGGCCAACAAGGCACCAAAGTCACTGTCTACTTCCAAAGTGTCTACGACTTTGACGCACCTCAAGTCGTACCCGTCATCATGTTCGGCCAGAAGAGATGCGAGAGCCTTCTCAGCAGAGGTCCTCCACAAGGGCACGCCTTCCAATACTCGCTGTGTGCAGATGCTCCGCCTCTGGCATCGACTGGCTCGCCTTCTCCGCAGATGCCTCTGCACTTGATCCTGGACGAATCTTCGGTCAGTTGGGAGTCGCCATCAGTAGAATTCGGCTCCTTCACATATCTCGACCAAGCGAGTTACTACCACCCGCTCGACTCTCCTCAGATGCAGGTTCCGCCTCATCCTCAACTGGCTGCACCCCGAAAACGCAAACTATCACCTCAGGCCTCGCCGCGACGTTCGCCTGTGAAGAAGCCATCGATGCCACACTTTGACACTTATGCCGCGCCCAACCCATCCTCGCCCTTCCGCCGCCCAAGCATGCCGGAAGCCTACCACGTCAGTCATAGTCGCAACTACAGTGGCCATCAGTCGGACTATAACCCGCAGGCCTACAATGCTCCGCCCCAACGCATACAGTCCGCCCAATACTACGGCCCACCAGTTCCCCAGCCATCACAAAGCCCCTCGTGGAACTACCAGCAAAGCATGCCAAATCCTACCCGTAGTCCATCTGCTGCAACAATGTCGTCCACAAGCAAAAGCTCGCAAGTGCTCCCCTCTCCCGCCGGGCAAAACCCGCCCTTGATACGGACGTCCACTTTGCAGCAGTCGCCCACGATTCCAGGCGCCACTATGGCTGCCGTGGTTCCGGCTGGGTTCAATCCGTACGCCATCTACCCTTCCAATTCCAAAGCTATGCTTAAGCTTGACAAAGACCTCAATACCATGTCGGACAAGTGGACTCCTTCAGAGTGGGAGACGAGACGGCGTCTCGTGCAGTTTCGTCGCAACCAATCCGGCAGCACCATTTCGGCCACGTTCGAGCCCGTAACACTGGAAGATCGAATTCCAAACAGCATCTGTGTCAGCTGCATCTGGTGGGAGGAAAAACAAGAATGCTACGTGACCTCTGTGGACACAATTTCATTGTTGGAGTCTCTGGTCGCAGTGCGCTTTACCGTGGAAGAGAAGAATCGGATACGACGCAATCTTGAGGGTTTCCGTCCCGCCACCGTGTCCAAGACGAAGCCGGAGAGCGAGGAGTTTTTCAAGCTGATCATGGGCTTTCCAAATCCAAAACCCCGTAAGTCAAAGAATTGTAAAGGGCAGCTTGTCTCTACTGTGCAGAAGAACGCTCTCGCTACAGGATGGTCTTGCATGCGTTCAGGACGCTATCATTTGGCGAGAGAGAGCGACTTTTGAGACTTCCCGAGACTTGACTTCTCCCTCCGAGCTTTCACTATCTTGTACATCTGCTGACCTTTCCACTTTATAAGGTAACATAGAGAAGGACGTGAAGGTGTTTCCGTGGCGCATCTTGGCAACGGCTTTGAAGAAGATCATTGGCAAATATGCAAGTCAACATGCGTGCATATGCACATGCACATGCACCCTGCTTTGAAGTGACAGGCAAGCTAACAATATCATAGTCCGCCAGCTACTCCTCCACAGCCGGTGCGTTGCACACTCCTGTTGCCGCAAGCTATCCAGTGAGCCGAGCGTCTGACGCTGGTCTCGAGCAACGAAYGGCTACTTCGCCACGCTCGGCATCGAGTTCGATGGCGTCTCATGGTCATGCATACGCTCCGCTTCACATGCAGCACGGTGCATATCCGTCTCACGCGACGGGAGCAGCAGGCCTCGGAGTCGGCCCGTCAGCAGGTCCGACCGATCTACGCATTGCCGTTCCTACATCCGCAGGAGCACAAACGACGTCCTGGCACCAGCCTGCTACGCATTACACTTCCGACCTTGTGGGCGCTGGTGGTACTTGGGGCGATTTCCGAACCTACACGGGTTTACCTGGAACAGCGCCGTCGTACCCGTATGCACAGCGCATTTCTTCTTTAACGGGACCAGGCGCCATGCCCGAGCACACCAATTATGCGTCCTTGCACGATTACGACAGTCACGCTCACCCGCCGGCATCGAGTGCGTGAACTGGTGGGTGTGCAGATCTAGGCTTTGATCATTGGTCACGCGGGTGTACCCCACGCTTGCACACTCTATCACAACACCCTCACGAGCTTCCTGGCTGTTTCAGCACCCACACCTCGTTGAACATTCCCTTTGTTTCGTCCTCCAGATGATCTACCCTACCACCAGATCTTCGACAAGGTTTCCGACTGGACCAGGTCATCTGGCCCCAATTATAATATCTCCCTCCTTTGGAAGACGTCAGCATCTCCGACGGCGCTCTCTCATCGCAAGCACTTTTAGCATTAGATTCACACCCTCACGGGAAAATGAAAGAGATACCCATTTGCTTTTTCCGGAGTTTCGCCACCATCAGCATCATCGCCGCATAATCCGATAACGACAGCATTCCTTCGGTTCGCATACGCAAGCATCTCAGCAGCGCTTTGGGAACAAATAATAAGCAAGGGAGATGTAACGGTGTACGATAGAGGTCCCCTACAAATAGATACTACCAAAGCTGCTGCTCCTCAGATTCCGGTCACCTTTTTTGACGGCTGATCATTCGAGCGTCATCGTTCGGTAAGTTCAAGCCGCTGCTCGTGACAGAGTGCAATCAAGACATCGGTTACCGACAGTGCTGCGAACAATGTCACATTTCATCTGACAGCCGGTGCGGTTGCAACTTGGAAACAGCGCACGTCCATCCGAACCGTTCAATAACAAACATGTATATGCGTGAAGAGCGTTTCGCATGGTCGTTCATCAACGGCTGTGCCGCACCGGTCAATATCAATACCAGCGTACAAAACCGTTTGGCGTGAACATGGATGTTGATAAAATTTCCGCGACAAGACGATCGATTGAATACCATGGGAATGTGTCGGCCTGGACTTATCTCATTGAGGCTATGAATCCCTCAAAATGTATCGTCGTCCATGTCGTAAGCACGTGCGACAATGCTCGGGCTTGGATTCAAATCAAACTCGAAGTCGTCTTCGATATCGTCCGTCGCATCAGCTCCAGCGGTCAACAACAAGTCGTCGACGATTTTCCGACTCGCTTCTCGCGCGGGTGTCTGCATCAGCCTGGACTGCGGGACGTGAAATTGCATGGTTTTTGGAGGACTCATCTCCGCAAGATCGTCGTCCTCGTCGCTATCATCGAAGTAGTTCCGATCTTTGGTGTAGGTCTTGTCTTGAGGTGAGAAAAGCTGTCTGCCGGTAGATGTCATTGGTGCAGCTGTGCCCGGCTTCTTGGTGGAAGCTAGGATCGATAGACCAGGTGTCCGTGGTGCGCCTTTGGCGGGAGAGAAGAGATCGGTACGTAACTGTGGAGCGGCGATTTCAGGCGAGGATTGAGGAGAGTCATCCCATGRTGCCTTTTTGCTAGCCGTGGCTGGCGTCGCTTTGACGGCAGTGGGTTGGTACTGCCTACGCTGCGTGAGTGGGGTTGCTTGGATGCGAAAGTTCTTGTCGAGGACACGATGCATCAGCGGATCGTTGTTTTGCTTTTGCTGGAAGGCCGATGGCTGGAGCGCAGACTCGGGCGCAAAGGGAGAGGATTGGAAATCGGAAGCAGAAGGCATTCGTGGGGTGCTTGGCTGCTCGGACGAGGGCTCCGTGGCCTTGGGATTCCTTCCCGTGTATTTTCGCGGAGATGGCGATCTATAGGAAGATGCGGCGCTTCTGTTGGTTTGTCTCCGTCCCGTACCTGTCGTCTTTCTGGCAGATGAGGGTGTCAACTTTGGCGTCGTCTGAACACCCGTCACTTGCGTCGGAGACTCAACGCTGAACTCCTCATCGTCTTCCTGGAGCTCTGCACCCGTCACGGTGCTCTCGTCACGATCTGAAGGCGTCTGGAATGACTCGGTGGCTTCGGTCTGGGTGGCCTCTTCGTCGTTGGGTTCTTCGTAGCCTGATAATGAGACATTGGCCGACGCCTCGAAGAACTGCTTCCAGAACTATGCCCGTGTCAGTACGGGAAAGGATAATGAGAGAGGTGGCGTTGAATGAATCTACCTTGCTACCCTCCCACACTTCATTGCTATGCTTTGCATAATCTTCGACAATGGGCAAAATGCTCGTCGTGACGATGCGGTGTGCTTTGCTGAAGTTGCTGTCGATTTCCTGCAGCGTCAACGTAATCTGTTGCTCTAGCTTCTCCAGTTCTTCGGTGAGCGTCAGACTCCGCTGCGCCATGGACGATCGCGACATCATCGTGGGTTGAAATTCCTGGACTGTTTGGACAATCAGTGTTGTTTGGCAAAGCTTCTTCATCGCGTCGCCAAAGCACGCGTCAAGAGGGTGGGGAATTCTGCCAAGCATGGGTGCTTCCAAGGTTGACTTCGTCTCTGCTTCMCCTCTCCTCATCTTCAGATCTGCGGGTTGGTACCTCCTAACAGCTCGGTGATGCGGAGGAATGGCCCACGATGCCGGTGTAATTACCGTGCAGTCGTCTCGTGAGGAGTACATGTACGTTCAATCATCACAGGCGAGTTTTAGTGATCCATTTCTCGACTCCTCCCTTCCCCTTCCTCCTTAAATCTTCATCCTCACATCTGCAAGACCAAAAGGAAGGCTTTTAGCGCCCAGAAACAGCTTTCAAGACCTGCAAGCTCATCTGTTGAACCTCTGCCCATCGAACTTTCAAGATGAGCCGTGTCGCTATTGTAACAGGCTCCTCGCGTGGAATCGGGCGTGCCATCGCCCTCAGAATCGCGCGGGATGGCTACGATGTTTGCATCAATGACGTGCCTGCCAACGAGACTGGAGCCGAAGAGGTAGCGAAAGAGATTCAAGCCCTTGGAAGAAAGGCGACGGTGGCCATTGCGGATGTCAGCAAGCTCGCTGAGGTCGAGCAGATGATCCAAACGGCTGTCAGCGATCTGGGGCCGTTGAACACCATGTGCGTGGGCGATACGCCTGCTGTGTTACGTGACAACGGAGCTTACAGTGTCTAGAATTGCCAATGCTGGTATTGCACAAGTAAAGCCACTGCTTGACTTGACCGAACAAGATTTCGAAAACATGTTCAGGGTCAACGTGTTCGGAGTACAGAACTGCTTTCAGGCAGCGGCGAAGCAGCTCATTAGGTGAGATATTGAGGAATAGAAGGTCGACAGCGTCGTTCGAAGTTGTTTGTCGAGCTGCGCTTGACCTTGGTCCACAACAAAATTATCTCAGACATGGCTAACCTTTCCACCCTCTGCTTTCTAGGCAAGGCAACTGTACGCCAGACGCTCCTGGCAAGATGATCGCTGTGAGTGACCTTGCTGGCTTCCCAAGGGCCTCGACACTAACAATGTGACCAAAAAGTGCGCCAGCATAGTGGCCTTCAAGCCTTTCGCCCTCCTCTCCCACTACAGTTCGTCCAAGTGGGCCGTGCGGGGATTGACACAAGCCTACGCCATGGAAATGGCAGAGTACAACATCACCGTGAATGCCTACGCGCCAGGTATCGTCGGCACAGCCATGTGGGACCTGATTGACGAAAAACTGGGCGAAAAGACCGGCGCCAAGAAAGGAGGTAAGCGGGAATACCACTTTCAGTACTCAATGATATGTATCAGAGACAGACTATACACTGCGAAACGGTCGAGGTGTACAGCGCATATCGCTGCAAATTTGGGMGGCATGCGTGTAACATGAGCTGCGGAATCGCTAACACCCATTTCCCTAGACACGATCAAGAAGTACACGAACGAGCTTATCGCACAGAAGCGTACGTCGGTACCGGAAGATGTCGCCAAGCTGGTGAGCTTCTTGTGCGGACCGGACAGTGATCACGTCACAGGACAAACTCAGGTCGTCGATGGCGGGATCATCTATACATAAGAAGGCGACCTAGCATTCAACAACGATGCGACATCTGGCAAGATACTATTGGATGTCTCTCTAGATAGCTTACTGAATCTAGAACGTCACATACCTCCCTCGCATGATGATATGCAGCTTCAGCCGGAGCTTGGCTTGGCCTTGGGATTTCTCGCCGATGGTCAAAGAGGCGTGATTCAGCATTCGTATAATCTCCAGCACATCGTCAACTGCTTCTATCCGAGGCTACTAAGAATGCGATCGAGACATTTCACCTTGATGTAGCAAAGAGAGCGCGCCCTTGCGTACTGTCACAGAGTCAATGGCAGAAAGGGGTTCGCCTCAGCGATGCCTACTCCTTGAACGAGTCGTCAATGAATTATCTAAAGTGACGTTGGAGAGTGCACACAGCCAATCTTAAAATGCTATAAACTAAGTGGGATATATCGCCAAATCATTCCTTATCCAACGGCCGGTATTATGAATCCTGTTGTACTTCACCAATATGGCCCAAGCGGCATCGCGAAGGACTATCCAAAGAAGGGTCTCCGCTTTGATCCCGTCCTCTCCCACTGCTCTTCCGAACACGATACCATCACCCCTTCCATGCTGCGGCAAAGTTGACGGGAGCGAAGCAGCCATCGACCAACGACTCAATACTCCGTCGATAGGATGGACTTCATAGCACTGCTCTCCTTCTCGTAACTGACGATCCTCGACTGGCCCCCAGCAATCTTTGCACATAGCCACTGTACGCGTTCATACAATTCTCGAGGCTGCTTCGGCAACTCGCTGAGCAGATGCAACTCTTGCTCATACTTATCTATAGCCTTGTTCTCCAGAGCAATTGCATCTCCCAAAATCTGCAACTCCATCTTCGCCCGCAAGACATTATCTTGCACGAGCCGTTGAAACGCAGCGTGGTAGACGGGCCTGCCGGGCTTCACGGAGTATGGTCTCCCGTTAAGAGACTGCACAGCGATGAGCTCTGCTTGTTCGAGTGCTGCTAGTGCCTTGTCACCTCCGGATTTGAAGGTGTCTCTGAGGAGGAGCTCATTGTATCGCATAGTTCCGTTCTCTGCAAGATCGCGGACTAGCAACCATGCTTGAGCGGAGTTCCAATCACGCGACTCACTGCCGAGAAGCAGGAACATTTTGATGATCTCTGATGCGGATTGATCTACGATTTCGCCCACAGCTTTTGTCGGTGTCTCCCCGGTCTTGATACGCCGAGCAAAAAACTCGAGATCTGTCAATCGTCCTCCTAATAGACTTATCACCTCATCGAGCTCCTGGAGATCTTCTCGCTTCTGGCTGGGCGTAAGACTCTTGGTGCCGTCATCTTCAGTTGAGCGCTTTGCGTCGAAGTCGAGATGATTGATCACGTAGCGCTTAGCTACGTCGGGTGAGCAGTCTCCGAGGCTGATCTGTCTGAAGACGCGATCTGGCAGGGCCTTGCTCAGGGACTTGCTAAAGCTCACATCATTCGTCAGGAATATGACATGCGCGATGTTGGAGGTAGTGAGCCTAGCTGCCCACTCAGCAAGCTTATCGTAGACAAGGGCGGCTCCGGGTTCGTTGCTTTTGTGCAGGAAATTCTCAATCACCACCACCGGCCGATGCTCTGGATGCGCCTCCATGTATTCATCGTCACCTAGCTTGTAGTCTTTGTCACCTTTCTGGCGGCTGTCGAGTGCAATACTTTTCAGAGCCGCCGATGTGTTGGTCCATATCTTGACAAGCTGATTTTCCAGTGTTTCCGAGAATCCAGCCTTGCTCCCAGTCATACCTTGTGCGGCGAGATCCATAAGACCGCTGACATTGTTGAGCCAGCTAAATACTGGCCGATATCCAACCTGTGCTGCAGCAGATGCGATCGTCGCAGCATCACCGCGGGCCTCCTGGATGGGTTTGCAATCAATAACAAGCACTCGTTTGGCCTCCCGCTTATGGTGCAATGCATGATCCAGGACGAGTTCCCGCTTGCCACTACCGCGAGGTCCTTGGACGACAATGAAATTATCTCCGTTCTCCAAAAGCCACGATTGCAATTTCTCGATTTCAGCTTGTCGGTCCTCCCAAACCACTCCCATACCACCGTCTGCATACTCCGCATCTCGGCCGAATTGCTTCACCTTGTTGATCAGATCCTCGCCTTGACGACGGAACCAAAGGAAAATGGCGTTGTCCTCGATGTGGAAGGCTCGCGTGATGTGAGCTTTGATGGACAACGTCCGGAGAGGATCGAATATCGCCACAGTGATCCCTGCAACCAGTGCGGCCAAGATGGGTATTGCGATACGCGGATGGCCGAAGATCCAATCCTTCGCCCATCCTGCACGCTGCTTTTTCTCATAAGTTAATCGAAGTACGGTCCCCATTTTCCCACCGCCCTCGGACTCTGACACAATATAGCCGTGCAAGCAATTTTTGGCCATGATTGCTTTCCTGAACTGGGAGAAGTCGATGTAGGCGAAACGAGGGGTGACCTTCGAGTCTGACGGCTGTGAAATTATGTCTGACAATTTTCCAAAGGGACGGAAATGCGCATACAGTTGTTCCACACTGAGCTCGGCGACTTCTGCACCAGGTTCAGTTGGGAGAAACTCAGCGCGTAGACGCCGGGATGGACGGCGCGAGAGATCCTCCACCCATGGCTTCCCAAGCACAAGGCTCGCTCGGACGTCCGTGAAGGGATTCCACCATGGTCTGGCGGCGTGTGTTTCTAGGTGTCGGTGCACCGCATCGGCAACGGCCTTTGCGTTTCCATCGTGCTGGAACTTCACAAAAGCACCGCCCTCGCCAAATCGCGTCAAGACCTCGACTACCTCGGTCCGCCCAACAGAACCATCACCAGTAGCTTTCGCAAGAACTTTGGCGGGATTTACTACAGCATAGCCGCCCGCGTTGAATTTTGCCAGCTTGTTATTCTTCCCAAATGCAGAGGTGATTCGGGCTAGCCATGAAAGATTGGGCGGTAAGATGTTGTTGAAGAATAAAATTCCTTCCTGGGCCGCGGTGGTAATGTGCCCAGTATTGTTGTCGCCAGTCTCACCGGCAAGATACCTTTTGGACAACCGGCATGTCGTTATGGGGAGTGCAGTCCTGCTCGGAACGACATGTGGACTGAGGGCCCGACAAGGTAAAAGTCTGTGTGGCATGATCRATCGTTGAGAAGCCGACTGGCTCAGAAATCAGCGCCTGGGTTGCACCATTGTTTCAATGTCAAAGGTGTTTGTTGATCGGATAAAGTTGGTCGACGACTGACGCGATGACGAGATGGCTTCACGGCTTCGCCAAGACTAAAGTTCGGGGAGACATTGCTTAAACGAAAGATCGACATTGAACCGCGTGTTGTGCATGATGGCTAGCAATTGATACAATTTAACATCATGCTGGTGTACTTGCAATCTGCAAAGTGTTCCAAAACCATTCGAGCCCCGTGGGCTGGCGCTTCAGGGAGCAACACTTGACTTGCCGCCGACCCTACCTGGCGCCCTAATCCAACAAACAGTCGCTTTGCATATCTATCCAGATATAGCTCCACTCACTAATATCTATACTCTGTGACCGGAGCCGGTCTAATGTCTCGAGGATAGACCTCCTGTCCGTACTGATCCACGTAACGAGTGGGCGGCGGCGCATGGCTGTAAGCACGTGACGGTGCTCGTGCAATCACGCTTTCCTGACGCATATACTGAACTGGCGCAACACTAGCTTGACGTGCGTATTGTATGGGGGCAACACTTGCTTGCCGTGCATAAGTCGCGGCGGCCTGTACTGCCTCTTCTGGTCGCACACTGTAACTCCGGGGAGCGTATACTGGAGATGTCTGCTCTCTCACAGACGGAGGTGGCGGAGGCATCTGTTCGTATCTAGGCATGGCCTGATAAACAGGCGAGGTGGGCGCATCGGCATAGCGAATGGGCTGTTGGTGCTGTTCAACGCGGATAGGGTAGCCGTGAGCGTCCACATATTGGATTTGTCCGTCATCAGGTCTCCTCGGTGGCGGAGGAGGGGCCATCCGGACTTCGGGGGCATGTTCGTACGGTTCAGGTGGAGGCTGAGCATACACTGWAGCCATGCGGCTCGGTGCACGCTCATATCCGAGCTCGGCTGGCTGGCGTCGCTCTATGGGGGCGACCGATGCTCTCGAGGGTGCCGGGGCAGGATCAGCAGCATAGTATCGATTTCCGTACTGGTCTACAACAATCCGCCTAGGTGGTGCTGATGGAGGTGGCATCATGCTGGGATTGGCATCGCGGAAATCTTGCAGGCGCGGTGACGCATGGGAATTTTCCGCGTGGATGTACTGTACAGCTGGCTGCTCTGGGTAGCGTGCTGGCTCACCCTCCATAGTAACTCCAGGCGTGTGCGGTAAACGTGAATCATCATAAGTCATGGAGACAGTTCGGTATGGTGTTGGAGAGTTCACACCGTACGTTGGCGATGGAGGTCTTTGAGCGTAGTGCAGACTGGCCACACGTCTGAGATCTTGACTGTCCCTCTGTGCAGGCCGGTAGGCGGCGGGAGAGGCCACTCTAACAATCGCTGGAGAGGCTGGCTGGGCATATTCGTACCGAAGTCCGGAGCGAGGAGGCTCCAAGYATTGGGCCTGCGGTGCGTGTCGCGGCGATATCAAGTCAATCTCGGCGGGTCTGTAGGATGGTGGTCTTTGAGCGAACTGCGGCAGATCGGGTACATTCCCAAAAGGTGGTGGCGACACAGGCTCATCTTTGATACGGGGTTCCAGATGCGCCGGTGATGGTGGTGAGCGTGCATTGTTGTGTCTGTCGCGCTTCTTTTTGGTCTTGGCAGATGGCTCGCTGTCACGCTTCCGCTTCTTCTGGCGCCGCTTCTTTCCACTTCCACCCACACCGGTTGCCGACGGTGAGGCAGTACTGACGCGTGACGCAACCGTGTTATGAACGGGCCGCGATTTTTGCACAATCTCCGGACGACCATTCACCAGCTCCAGTTCGATGCTCGGCCCTTTAGCGACAGCGAGAGGCGAGACGCGATTTGGTTGAGGAGCAGCTATGTGAGTCAGATGGTTGCGGATAATGGGTACGTGAGGAGAAGATTGTGCAGTCTGTGTTTGGTAATGAGGGATCGGCGCAACACTGTCTTGTGTGWTTTCTCCAGGTTCGTATTCGGAGTTGTCGTCGTCATCGTCGTCCAGGGCCGCGGCCTGCGCCAGTGAGTCGAATGCAGTCGCATCTTGTGGTATATACTCATCATCCTCATCGTCAATGTCAAACGTGTCGTGGCTCTGATCAGGATACACATGAGGGTGGACAACAGCGGGCTGCTTGCCGGACGCAGATGACTTGGCAGCGAAGGACGATACAACGGGCTCCTCATTGCGGTAAGCATCTGCTGCGCGGTCAGATTCCTTACTTGCGCTTGCAGGGGAGGACCAGTCACTTTCGACTTGGCTGGAGTAGTAATCGTTCTCGTCGAACGAGCTGCTGGCAGCGCTATCAGGCTTCGGCGCTGCTTTCAAGCCCGACACATGGCTTTCACGCGCAAACGCCTTCGCCAGCACGTCTGCCATATTGAGCGACGAGGGCGCATCGCCACCGTAATCTCGCGTCTGTGACGATTGCTTGCGCTGCTCCACCTGAGCCTGCAAATCACGCTCAATGCGCTGCCGCTTGAGCTGGCCCTCGGCCCGCACAAGGCTGTCCGATTTCTCCAAAAAGATTRGATCTAAGCCGCTGGACGGTGCTGGCTTTGCAGTAGACCGCTGAGCGACGCCATTTACGTGAGAAGTCGAAGCAGCATGCAGCCCCGGCAAACCAGATGATGGCGACGACTGGGCGTAGTTAGTTGCTCTGTCCGCGTGGAAAGCAGTCCCATTTACGGCACCGTTGACCGCTGCTGCGTGGACATGGCCAGCGGGCGCGTCGCGAGCTTGCAGCTGCTCGATCACGGCTGGCGGCAGCTTGAACTGCGGATGCTGCCCGGCAATCACGGCGTCTCGAATGCGAAGTAATTGTGTATAGAGCGCCTCTTCCTCTGCAGGCAAAGGCGACGCGGCGTGCGCGTTCAGTTGCGCATGCGACCTGACGTCCACTGCCATTTTGTGTCTCCTCTTTCTCTTGCTTGCTTTTCGGACACAATCGTGCTTTACAGAGAGTATCTGTACATGMGATTGTCAAGCTCTTTTATTATTAGGAATATGCGCGTTCGGTCAAGCACAGCAGAAGGCTCTCCGTGTATGGTGTACACCAAAGACCGAGTGATGATGAAGGAAGTGGAAAGGGAGACAGCAGACRAACCTAACCACAATTCTGAACCCAATCGCGCCAGCTCAAAACGCACGGGCTTCAATCTCTCGTTCTCGTCGTAACAACAGGTGACTGTATATTTCCATCCATCTTTTCCTCCTTTTCGTTTTCTCAATCTACCTTACCATCATGGTCACGAACGGCGACACGGCGGCTGCCATGCAGCAGCGTAAAACATTTTTCTTCGACATTGACAACTGCTTGTATCCAAAGTCGTATCGGATACACAACATCATGGGAGATTTGATCGATAAATACTTCGAGTCACACCTTTCCCTCCCAAGAGAAGAGGCCACAAGACTACATCAACAGTACTACAAAGACTATGGCTTGGCAATCGAAGGCCTTGTTCGCCACCATCAAGTGGATCCTCTGGAGTACAACAAACAAGTAGACGATGCTTTGCCACTGGAAGACATTATCAAACCGAACCCTGCTCTTCGCAAGATGCTCGAGGATATCGACAGAGAGAAGATCAAGCCGTGGTTGTTCACAAACGCATATGTCACACATGGGGAAAAAGTTGTCAAGCTACTGGGAATCGACGATCTTTTTGAAGGCATTACCTATTGTGACTACGCTGCGGAGCGACTTCTATGCAAACCAGATCCGGAAATGTTTGCCAAGGCTATGCGAGAGTCTGGTAGTACGGATGTGTCTCAGTGCTACTTTGTAGGTGAGTAATTTGCTCATGTTCACATATCGACACTTCCGAGTCTAGCACTTACAGACAATTAGACGACTCAGGTCTCAACATTGTAGGCGGCAAGGCTTATGGATGGACGACCGTTCACCTTGTTGAACCAAGTTCCGAATCGCCTCCAGAACACCTCGGTCACTACCAAATCACAAACATCTTGGATATACGAGACACGTTTCCCGAAATCTTCAAGTCTTCATGAGGCCATCAATTGCCGGAATGATAGAATGAGCAGTGCTTGATATGGGTTGCCCATCGGCGACACCCGGCAAACGCATCACCGTCACCATAGAGGTGCCATAAGGACAGCGAAAGTCGAGGGTGGTAGAGAAGAGTGTGCGTTGGTTGTGTAAGCTGACATGACCACTAGACTTAGATGATACACCGAATGAGTAGGGGTGTTGTGTTTACAAGGACTTCTGCGCATCATTCAGCAGCACTCACTGTGCAGAGTCCTCCTCACCACTTTCATCGCAGGCGCCAGACTCAACACCATCACCCTGATCCTTGTGCTTCTTCTTCTTCAGATGCTCTCGATAGTCATGCCAAAGATCCGTGACTTTGTGACCTTCGCAGCATTTGCCGAACACTTTCTCGWCGTTGTATTTGCCAGTTCTCAAGCAAGCGTTGATCTCTCTGACGGTCCCGGGGCCGAATCGTTGCTCAAGATACTCCAAAAAATAGCCCGTATGCTGGTAGCCTCCATCCCAATCACCTTCTGCTTCCTGTTTCCAGTGAGCAGCCCCCAAGCCAGCACGCAGACGTACCCAGTCAGCAATTCCTTCGATAAGACCACCGTTGCAGGTGCCTTCTGCGGCCCACTGAAAGCAATGCACGAGCTCATGGCACATCACTCCGAGAAGCTCATATCTATGATTCGATCGAGGTTTTTTGATGTAGTTCAGGTTGAAGTGAATTTCCTTGTGATCATCATCGAGGTCTATGCCAGTTGTGTATGCGACGCCATCCATCTCTCTCAGCACCAGCGTCACTGATCGCGTTCCAGGGCGCTGGCTGTCGAAATTGTACAGCAGGTTCCTGGGACTATTGAATTATCCATAATTCTTCGATAGTGAGGCTCGCAGCAAGCCACACTCGCYCTTGCTAACAAACGGATTCCAAATACCATCCAGTCTCGCAGTAGGAACGAGCAACGTCTGATCTATCAAGACTTCTGCCGATATCCCGGTCAACAATGATGATGGATATGTGTTAATGAGACTCGTCATACAGTGGGGTACGATTGTATTGGTTCTCCACACTTTTCTCCGCAATATACGACAAGTGTGTCACTCAGTGTGTCATAAGGATCCAAACTCCGAGAGTATACAAAGCAGAGCGTGCCACGGTCAACAGCATGACCAAGGCGGAAGAGTACGCCAAACGATCAAAGCCACGTCGTCTCTTGACGGAATAGGAGACCCACTGAGCGGACTCCTTCCATCCCCATCTGCACTTTGTATTGTGTGTGTAGCGCAGCGATTCGACCCCTGTCGTCCGCACCACGTAGATCGACCGGCTACTCGACATGGCTCGCCATCTCGAGCGTAGAGATGTCGTAGAATGTGAGTGTACGGTCATTTTCGATGCGTGTGCCTAGCTAGCGAACAGACATGTAGACTCGGAAGATCAGCCTAGGACAATTCGAATATCCATCCGAGGTTAAATAGACAAAGACAGCATAGCTAAGGGGAGACCCGCCCGGAATTATAAAGCTGCCCGCTAGCATAAACTTCACGAGCTTGCCCTCGAATATGTCCTTAACCTAGATCGTGCTATAGTGCGTAAAAGGAACACTAGTTAGTACCTAGTAACTAATGCGGTAAGGGAACTCTGCGACCTATAGAAGTCGGCCCTCGTTAGCGGCGATTATAGCAGCTAGCTTGTGGTTCTCCTCTTCAATTTCGGTAATCTAGTAATCGAGTTCTATTATCTCTAGCTTATGCTCTTCCTATCGCTCTTCCTCTAAGCAAAGATGTAGAATAGGGTCTAATATAAGGGCGTCTCGGTAGGGAAGATCTTCGGGATCGTAGGATAGGACCTAAAAGATTAGTAACGTAAATGTAGGAGGGCTCGCTACGCTACTTACGATAGGTAGCTAGACGGCGGAGATGTCGGCGGAGTTATATAGAAGCGTAGTAAAGGATCTAGAATGTACGCCCGTAACCTATACTATTAGTTCTTACATATAGATCTAGTAATCGCGAGTAGCACCCACCTTATAATCGATAGTATATACGGGAGAGAAACCGTAAGCCGGAGAGTACGTAGTAGCGGGCATCTAGAGAGTTAGCGATAACGACTTATAATAAATGTATAGTAGACTCACCTCGGTAGCTATTACGGCGAAGCTAAATCCGGCGAACGGAGCGTAAGATAGGGATATAATAGTAAGGCACGTAGTAAAGCCGGCGATAATATAACTAACGAAAGAAAGGCATAGTTGGCGGCATGTGTAAATAGATATATTAGTAATAGGTAAATGGATGTATAGATAGTACGAGTATAGAGAAATATAAATAGATTTAAAGTCCGGGCGGATAGACAATTTTTAAAGTGTAAAGTAAAGTAGGAGGATACTTGTAATTGTTCTCGACATATATTAACAATATTTGAAGTACATTAAGTAAGGTAAGGCTAAGCCGAACAGTAAAACCACGACCACGCTATCTAGCGCATTATTACCTACCGACTGCTATTTAAATACTAATCTCCGATGTCCTTCGCTATCTACTATAGTTATAAAATGTAGCCTAATAATGTCGATGTAATGCTGTTTATAGACATTAAACTAGAGTGCTRCCTTAACTATAGCTAATGAAGCTGCCCTTAAACGAGCCGATACTAACCGCAAGCCTATAGCGTTGTGTAGCTCTATACCGTCTAGCTTCTTATTATAGGTCTCTTTATAGTAAGCAAGTGTAGCTTTTATATACACGTATTTCTTGTCGTACCCGTAGTAGGGATAAGGGACCTTTAGAGTAGGATAAGGCGATAGAACGAGGAGCCCGGCCGGGATGTTAGGGCCTATAGTAGGCGAGAATAAGATCTTAAGAATCTAAGTGCGTACCGCTTCCTTATACTAGTGTTTAAGGACAAGGTGTTCTTCGAAGTTTACTCTATTATAGACCTTGTACGTATAAGCGGTAAAGRGGTAGACTAGAACGTTAGCCTTAGCCTTCTTCGCTATTAGTGCGTCGACTGTTATAGTTATAGCATCGGCTAGTACGATCGCGGAAATGCTCGACTCCGTAGACGAAGGAGCTACCGTAGGAGATAGGACTAGCGAATCTATTACGGGCGGGGCTACGAGAGGGACGATTATAAACTCGGGGGGATATAGCGAGTTCGACTCTATAATACGGGCTAGCCTAGCCGTCTTTGCTCTAGTAACCGT